ATCTAAGTCAGTGTTCATGTTAAGGGTATTTGGTATTCTGGATCTTTCGACGTATACATGCCCGTCTTTTCATAGCACAAGAAAACAATACAACTCACGGTTTAGCGGTGTAGCGGGTTCCAATCTGTAAAATCTTGATGGAGATACTCTCGTTACTGATATCAACACGCTTTTTGTCATTTCAATTTTTCATAAGAAACGAAGTGTGTGTCAGCCCTAACCGCAACCTTTCACATCGCGTTGAACCAGACCCCTACGGTACGAGTGTCCGATTTCATTCATCACTGTACCACATACGATCGATGTTGCCAACATAAAATGGAAACATAACGGAAAAACATTCTATTAAGTTATTGATACTGACTAAAAACTGAATTTGCTCATCAAGTCTTTAGTTACTGTGATTTATATACATATAGTATATGTGTATACAACATTTGTAAAGAAATACGATTCCTTGAAAAAATGTAATTCTGATCATTCCGTGAGTTTAGTAAAAATGTTCGAAAAACGGAGATATATTATTTTAAACTTTCGTGTCTGTCTACATTACACAAGGTTATTATCTTTTTTTTTATCTCACGGGTTCTTACCAGGATTTTCATATTTGATGAAATAGGGCTGGACTACCCGTGTCTACCCATGAAGCGCCATGCTTGAAACAACACCGAAATACCGGCAACTCACTAAATGTGAAAATAGTAATATAAATAATTCGAAAATCCATCAACCTTGTAATATTTTCCACTTTTCAATAAACGACACAGTTTACATGGATAACTACTCAATTCTTTAACTACAGGAATAACAGTGATAACTTGTTACTAGTATGTTATTGTTTGTTCAAAGCCTTTGCGGACGGAAAATAATAATTTAGAAGCTTGTCTGTGCTAACTGATACCCTAAACGAGGCAGAAATTGACGGCAAAGAGTATGCAGCATATTTGGTAACGCTTGCGAACAACTAAAGCTATTTCTTCGTAGCTGAAATTCAAGTTTTCCGGCTCCGCTATCACAATAAATCCAGGCGAGTTCATGTGAACGATCCGTGAAGGGCACGGTTTGTTCACGCCGGTTACGACGGCTAGTTTCACTCACCGAAAACGCTCAAGTTAACTTTTCTAAAACATGCAGGTAGGTATTCGCTTACTATTGTTTCCACGTACGCAACCAGTGATAATACAATATACGATTTCATTTTCAGTAAAGAAGTCTGTTCTATATTGCCAAAGCTTACTTATAGTAAACGGGTGATGAAATGTATTTCCAAACATTAAATATCGAGTGAATAATACACGTTTAACTATGTTTTATTAGTTATGAAAAAGATGAATGTAGTATTTAGGTTTGCTGTAATCATTTTTTTTATTTATTGCCTATGTAGGCAGACGGGCATACGGCCCACCTGATGGTGAGTGGTTACCGTCGTGGACTTCAGCAATGCCAGGGGCAGAGCCAAGCCGCTGCCTACCGCTTAATACTCTCCACAAGCCTCGTTTGAAGAAGGACATGTCATAGCGCTCGGGAAACACCGTGGAGGGGAACTCATTCCATAGCCGGATGGTACGTGGCAATAAAGATCTCTGGAAACGCACTGTGGATGACCGCAGTGGCTCCAGGTAGTATGGATGAACTCTACTCCGGTGGCGGGCGGTGCGATGATAAAAACGAGATGCTGGTAAGTATCATCTCGAACAATTCCTCAGAGCACTCCCCATGGAACATACGGTACAAAATACAGAGGGAACCAAAGTCCCTCCGCAGACCCATAGGTTCCACACGATCCGCGAGAATGGGATTATCGACAATCCGAACGGCCCTCCTCTGTATGGAGTCAAATGGTCAGAAGCTGGTATTTGGGAGCCCCGGCCCAGAGATGGGAGCAGTACTCCATGCGAGGCCGGACTTGTGCTTTATAAAGCAAAAGTCTTTGTCCAGACGTGAAGTACCGCTTCGCTCTGTTGAGGACTCCCAGCATTTTGGACGCCAACTTGGCTTTGCCTTCCAAATGACTCCGAAGCTGGACATCGCTCGAAATGTCGACCCCAAGTATCCCGATACTCTCGGAAGGTTGCAGGGATACTCCTTGGAATTGCGGCGCCATGACAAAGGGGTCCTTCTTCGCAGTGAACGCGCAAACTTGTGTCTATATCGGGTTGAATTGAACCAAGTTCAATTCACCCCATTCGGAGACTCGCTCCAGAGAGTTCTCCACTTCAGACACATGTTTTGATCGTGTCTCTTGCACCACGCTCCGTGAGAGACTCTGATTGCCGATATATCGCGCATTCCCCGTGCTGTCATCCGCATAGCAATGCATGCCATCAATAGACAGCATGTCATTGATATACAGGATGAAAAGCGTGGAGGAGAGCGCCGAACCTTGTGGAACGCCAGCGTTAATGGTCATGGTATCAGAACAGTCACCGTCTACAACGACCGTGATGCGCCGCCCATCCAAAACGCTAGCGATCCATTTGCAGAGACCCTCGGGGATTCCGTAAGATGGTAACTTCGATGAATCATGACAGCTATGAAAACGTTTCTGAAGATAATGGGCGTTACTGATTTTTAGTAGTCTAGATGGGACATGAGCTGAATCCACTAACGGTGTTTTAGGTACCTTAAGCACCGGTCACCGTAATCGTCGAATCCGTCCCCTGCGACGATGGGTTCAGTGAGTAAATTAACCCACAGACAGAGCCCACTAAGTTTCTACCCGAATCTTCTCAGTAGGTCGCGTTTCCGATCCGGTGGTACCTACCGACGCGGACTCACATGAGGTCCTACAACCAGTAATATCACCAGTATGTGATATCAACATTAGGGATTTTTGTGTCTTTAATATCTAATGTCTCTGTTTCCGACACTACAGATATCCCAATTCAAGACTAGACTAAATGCCTATTCGTGATTTGTCCACAATTATGTATTCAACAAAAATTTTACAAATTCAAATAATACAAGCGTTATCTAACAGATTACTATGTTAAAGAAAAAAAAAAAAACATTCATTTTGCTGTTCTAAATATAACTTAATCATAATTTGCCAGTAACGAAACATGAAATACATATTGTTACATCTCAGTGAATGACAAATTTTCTTAGCTTTGTAACGTTGATGCTACAGACTAGTGTAGTAAGCACTTATATAACACAATAATATATGCCGTGTCGGTGCATCTAATTGCTTCAACACAGTTTCACTTCCCCAGATCAAATAAATAGTCATGTGTGGTACATTCTTTATATCTTTACTCAGTTTTTGTTCAATCTGTTGTGGCAAACAGTTCTGATTTTTAGATATGTAAAAGTTAAATGTAACTAAATGAGCTCAAGAAATACTTTATATTTGTTCTTAAAGTCATAATTATAGAGAAAACTAAACTAAAACTGTTGTCAAAAGTTGTTTAACTTACAAATTTTTTTATTGCTTAGATGGGTAGACAAGCTTACAGTCCACCCAGTGTTAAGTGGTTACTGGAGCCCATAGGCAACTACAACGTAAATGCACCACCCACCTTGAGATATAAGTTCTAAGGTCTCAGTATAGTTATAATTTATAAAAATATAACAAGAAAATGTATAACATATTTTTTTAATGTTATTAAAAATTAAAGTCACGGTCTGTTTAATAAAATCACTTTTTCCTCAAGTTTTAGTTTGTCTGCATTTCTTTATTCCAGCTATTTTGAAAATAATGTGACATCAAACAATAGATTCTGTTTTATTTGATAAGCTCCACAATTGGCTGTGTTATGGGAGAAACTACCAGCTACCTTAGCTACAACTAGCTATCTTTTCTTTAAATTTCTGGGTTTTCCAAACATGAACTTGCTAAAATGATGAATATTAATTATACTATGAATCCATGTTTTAAAGGATATTTTTAAATTAGATATAAATGATTGTGTAAATCATTAACATTCTTGTAACAGTGGGCTTCAAAAGGAAGTTGGCAACTTGCCAAAAACAGCCATAACTCAGTTATGCGTGTAACAGATTATGTATTAAGTATATTTCATATATTATAAGAACACTGTTTATTTTTTATTTAGAAGTATCAAAGGAACCATTATTTAAAGTAAATTTTTTAGTACAGTAATATAGACCAAAACTTTAGATATAATAAGATCAATGCAATTGTATGACTTTAAAAATATGTAAGATTGCTTCTTATTATAATAATGACTCATAATTCAGTCTATCAAATGAATTCTATTTTACTGTTGATCATTTTTGTTCATAAAATATTTTTGAATAAATCTGCATTACATGATCTCTGCAACCAGTTTTGATCATTAGTATTTACTAAAACATAACTTGCCATGTTTTCTAGTATTATATCAGTTCCCGATTGAAAATATTGTACTAAAAACCATGTTTTAATCAAGTTGTTACAAAATCATGTTGTAGTAGTTAAGGCGACATTCTTTGGCCGTATGAATTTATTATAATAAGGGACAGGATATAACAGTAACATTGGGCGAGTGATGTCCTAATCTACTTCATAGGTACATACTTTGATAACGATATGTTTCACTAACAACGTTGATGTTCGTGTACTTTGACGCAAGTACATTAAAAGACATGCAGTGCATTTCATAATGAAAATAATCGTAGATTACGATTCTCAAAATACGAAACTATGATGTCACTGCGGATGAGTGTAGCCTGACAACCTACGCGACTTATAACATTGTTCAACTTAAAAGGGTTGCCTCGAATTACTGATTACGACCTCTGGATCGGAAACTAGCTTGCATTTCGATAATTTCGTTACAAATCACCACCAAAACAATAATACGCGGCACACTTAACAGGGAGTGACAACATCCTAACATTTTACTTCCATCTCTTTTGAACTTTCACGATAACAAAATGTTGGAAAGGGACCGAATACTGTCAAAACTTTACCTATTTTTTACCAATTCCACAGTGGCCAAATCTTTTTAAATTAAATAAAACTAATAGAACTAGTAAACTGTGAACGAGCTTACCGTAATCAAGTGTACATAAATCCAAAACAAACGTCGGGATGATTTTATTGGTAAAAACAAGAAACACAAACACAAAAACTTTTTAGATAAACGTGGTATCACAAAGTGACACTTGGCCAACACTCGCACACAACATGCACTAGCATAGGACACCGCAATGACCGACACACTTTGACACTAAACTTTATTTCGAAGAGTTAACAAACGACAAATTGCTAATACCTATTTCGAGACGTCTGTCGTGCCACAATAGATTTCGGCCATTTTGATTGCTGCTGAAAAGAAAGAGATGAATGCTATGTCTATCACTTTTATTTGATTTTGCTGTATAATCTATGACTTTTCGGTGGAAATGCAAAATGTCTATAGTCGGATTTTTAATTAGACGAAGCCAGCTGACAGTAGCTAATGTCACTTTGTGAAATAATGTTGCTATATTTAAAGTAATAGTGATGCGTTCAGTTCTCGTTCAATCACATGAATGAACAATGAGTGTGAAGAGTTAATCATTAATTACAAACTATAAAAGAATATTATTTATATTTTACAATAAAATTATATTAAAGTGCTCCAATATATGTTACTAGTAGTATGTAACTACAATCAGTTGTTTTTATTTTCATTACCTACCTATGATTGTTATATTTTATACATCTATAGTTTCAACTATATGATGTATTGGAAATAGGACCGTCTTACAAGCTTCCTCGCAATCTTTTTCTTAATGTTTAAAACACTCGGTGTTCAGTACAGGTAGATACTATAGGAACATAATATTTCGTCGAAAACTCGTTGGTATGTACAAAGCACGCCTAAAATTCGAACCCCGTACCCAATATCGGCAATTCGGCACACCAACTATTCACTAGACAATCGAGGCAATTTCATTAATTCAGGAGTTTTTTCAATCGTTCACTTTGCCACAACACTATTTTTATTTCATCAAAAACTGACAACCCAGTAAACGTCAGTTGACTTCGTCTAATAAAAAATCCGACTATACCGGTAAAATGGGGCGATTAGGGATTGAGAGGCGAATCGGGAAAAAACCGGGAAAATCTTTCGACGCTCAATATAAGTTTTATATTCGTTGCAAAATCTTCCATTTTTTGTAGTTTAATAGTAGAATGTTGAAAGTTCACAAAACAACTCTGAATATGCATGATAATAGCTGCTAACTTATAAAAAATCGCGTTTCAAATTAACTTCCTGTGGTGGTAATTATTTTAGTGCTAGAAACTTTGCTCTCTTTTATTTATTTGATAATAATAGAAGACGACTATGATTTATAAACGTTATTTAGTGTTTGAACCAGCATATATATTAAAGGTAAGTCTCAGTTGTTATTGGTTTTAATGTATTTGATTAAATAAAAATACATGTAAAAATCTGTTGTTTTTGGGGATATTGGGGACGTCTTAGGTACAAATAACAACGAAAAAGGGGTCAATTGGGATGAGAATACGTGAAATGGAAACGACCTAAGTATAAATAGGTACAGGTTTGTAGGGTTGTCTATGTAGTTATAACAATATTTTTTAAATTTGTTGGTAAAAATCTGGTTTATTCGAAGCGAAATTGGGAATAAGTCTCTAGTTGAAATAGATAAGCAATTTAATATAAGTAAGTCGATTTTGCAGAGACATGTAACAAGATCAATGAAATCTCAAGGTGGACAAAAATGTCTAAGTAATACATAATAAAATATTTCATATTTGTTCAGAGTGGGGGTATTCATCTGATTAATCCATGGAATAACCGACACACCTAATCTCTTAACCCAGATAGAAATATCAGCCCCTAAGTACTTACCAAGAACGGAGAAATATAAACCGTCTCTAAGAAAGCCCACTATATATGTATATATATATATTTGTTGTAAATGCTCTGTCGATTGCACCTATAATTGAGGTGATGTCTGCCATGTACTTTTGTCAGTTTTTCAATTTTTTTTATTGATGGACACTTTATGGTGCAACTAAATAATAAAATAAATTAAAACTATATATAAAAATAAAAGTAGTGCCAACCCTAGCAAATTTCTCATTTCGTCCCAATTAACCGCAATTTTCGGGTAAATAGGGATTACACCTATTTTTGCATTTTTTGCTTAAACTGGAATGCTAGTTGCATAATTTTAAATTAGACAACAAAGATGCCCCCAAGACTCAATCATTTTGATCCTTATATAGCATTATATACATCAACAACTACCTTAAAATTGCTCATAAAGTTGGAATTTGTCCCTAATCGCCCCATTTTACGGTACTTAAGTGATTTTTTAATTCTGTTTGGTATCAATGGTGAAATTGCTAAAACGTTATATTTACAAATGTGAAAGTGAATAATTATAATAAAATGAAATAAAGTCGCTAGAGTTGACTACAGGGTTCTTCCAAAAAGTCCATTGAGCCTTAGAGCTTCTTACCATTTTACTAGTAGATCCACAAGGCATCACCCATTCGGGATCTAGCCAACTCATAAGGCATCACCCATACGGGATCTAGCCAACTCACAAGGCATCGCCCATACGGGATCTAGCCAACTCACAAGGGATCACCCTTGTTGGCACTTCGTCTCATCACGTACATAGAGCATAACTTCGCTGATTGCAATTTGGACCTCAAGTTTTAAGCATCCTTCCCATCCAGTAATCGCATCTTCGTAGTCGCATCATAATATTTATGCGAGCAACTGAATGATTTCATATTTCAGAGAATTTACATAAATTTATCTACTTCTGAAGGGGGTTGCAGCAAATCCTGGTGTGAAAAGTCAATAGACATACGTGGTATTGTATGATGTTAGAAAATGACTATGAAGAAGAAGATATTATGACAATATCAGGCAAAAACCTGAATCTCGTTAATGACTTTAAATTTACAAGATAAGCTTGAATACATTTAAGTTCAGAACAAGAAAATTTGGGCAATGATTTGGTCGACTAAAATCAGCTGTTTTGTTGGAAAATCTGAGTATTTTTTTCTTTTTCTTTAACTTCAAAGGAAATGTGGCAGTTCAACCCCATCGTCTATTAAAAGTGTTGTTGACAAAACGAAATCAGCTCGTTCCGAGATTTGGCTAAAAGACTATGGAACCTGGGAATTATTCTTTAGGTAGATCGGTAACGCTGCCGAGAGCAATATTTTTTGGTCTGTTCTCCCACCAATTTGGAAGTCTGTTGAAATCTGGCCTAATAATATGAAGCAACGGGACGATCTCCTGGTGGTTTTTTTACAACACACAACAGGGGGTCAGACGAAAGATGTGCCCCCCTGCAATTCTTGAAGTGGAATAGCTTAACATTCGAAATATGTGCCTGTATGGCCTATCTCTCCGTTGCCTTCAAGTGGCCAAAAACGTTTTCTAGTCTTGCGGTAAATTTAAATAAGTCTACAAATGTTAAAAATTTTTAAAATTGACTCAGTTTTTAGTTCAATTACATCAAAAATGCTAATTCATAGAGAGATATATGTACTACTGATTTTGGTGACTTATTTTAACGGACGTTATTTTTTTAAGAAATCGTTATAATGCATTTATAAAAATAAAATTTGTTTTCAGATTTGTATCTCTGAATGCCACACAAAAAGTACAACAACTACACAAAGATGTAAGAAATTCCAAAAACAATTATCCACTACCTTTTTAACAAATGATAAGTATTCAAAAGTAGCCTCAGAATTTATATCTATCTAGTGCAACCCGAAAAGAAAGAGACTTAAGTCTATCAATAAAAAATTAGGCAAACAACTCACGACACCAAGATTACACCCTTGTTAGAACTATTACACTACTTGGAAAACGTATTTTTTTTTCTTCCTATTCGCTAGTAAGTTCGCTTTACACGCCAAGGGTCTCACTTCCAACCTCACTGCAACTGGTAGGTGAGTTCATGAGGCTCAAACCTGAGAGAATGTTCTGACACTGGCCTTAGCAAGAGCAGTGCTTGGCAGAATATACAACTGGATCGGAATCGCGACCCACTGAGAAGATCCGGCGAGAAACTCGGTGAATTGTGTCTATGCGTCAGTTCACTCGTCGAACTCTTCGTCATAATCGACGAGAACAGTGACCGCTGCTTGAAGAACCTAAAAGCACCAAGAGTGGATCCGGGATATTCGACAAGACATATTTCGGGCGACGGCGCCTTTGCGTTGCCCCGTCGCCTAGGTCGGTTAAGTAATTAGCAGCGAGCACGATAAGGGGGTAATTGTGTCGCGCTGCTTTTTCAAAGTAGCGTTCTGATGCTTCCTTCAGATACTTACGTATCGGTTCATTTAAGTCGTCGTGATAATCGATATTCCTCACGTACCACGGTGCTCCGACGGCTATTCTGCAAAAATAGAGTTTATACAAACAAAGAGGCCCACAGTATGGACTAGCCAAAGATTTGATAAATAATTGATTAACGGTAGGCAGCGGCTTGGCTGTGCCCCTGGTATTGCTAACGTACATGACCGACGGTAACCACTCACCATCAGGTGGGTTGTATGCTCGTCTACCTACACGGGCAATAAAAAATAAACCTCAAGCACGGCAGTACTTTCGCACGAAGAGGACGGAGCCTTGCGAGACTCCGGCCGAGATTTGTTTCGGGAGAGAGCATATTCTCACAACTCTATCCCGAAACGAACGGTTCGATATGAAATCTAGTATGATGAGCACGAGACTGTCTGGAAATCCCATGTACAGCTTATAAATTTAGTCGTTATGCCAGACTTTGTCGAACGCCTTCGCGATATCGAAGATAGGAGTTCTCATGGGGAGTGGTCCGCTTCTGTTTAACCCTTCTGAGATAAGGTTTCAGAGGCGATTGGGTAATAGTCGCTTGTAGAATTTGCTGGAAGGAGACTGATCGGACGGTAAACGGCGAGTTCGCTTTTAGATTCTCCAGGTTTACGAAGAGCGCATAAAATAAAGTCAACTTCGTAGAGTCGTCTAGTTCGTACTAATTATTCTTAATTTCATCATTTATTCCAGCTGCAACGTTCCGTTTTGGTCTTCCAGAAGTAATAGGAGATGCCGGCAAAGTCTTCGGGAAGGTTCTGGAAAGAATGTTTGCTCACAAAAAGCTCTTGGGTGTTCAATCTGGTATTTACTAAGTAAAAATCTAAACTTACATTTCATGGAGCAGCATCAAGGAAATATTTTTTATTGTTTGTTATATAATGATGAGGTATTGACTGTAATAAACTATTTGAAGCCCGATGTCTAACTAAATAACATTGTTCAATTAATGATTATGTTTTACCTTATACAAACTGATCTGTAATATCCGTAATAACCGTCCTGTGAAAAATTGATAAATTTGCTTATTTTCTTTTTGTAAAATTTATTTTGGTCGCAAACGTCAAATCGATAATTATAATGCGATTCTCAAATGGTGCGGCTATTAACGAATAACAATTAATTTTTGTTACATATTCATTTTTGTTACTATTTCTCTCTGTGAGGTCTGGTAAGGTTCACTCCGGGCCAAATCACATTTATAGATATCATCTATTTGAATTAAGTAATACAAGAGTCTTCATTTGAGTACCATAGAAAGCCAGATAAGTTCTTGGCCTAGCTTATGTTATATTAATGCCCTGGCCGGTCTTGAGAAATAAGGTCATTTATAATGTATCACGGATGTCTTACTCATCAAGCTGAGATCCATATCCAAGTGGTCCATAAATGTGGTTTCGCAACACCCACGGCCTCGCCGCATGACCTACGCACTAACCACCATCAGTGAGCACGTGGCTTGTGGGGGACTTAGAGAAGCGGTTTCTCTAAACACCAGTTAGCAAGGAGTACCATTGTGCCATTTTTAAATGCAGACAAAAAAGTATTAAGGTATTTTTTTTGCAGTTACTCGCACTGACTACATGTAAACTTTTTTGGAGTTTACTCCTTTAGAATCGATTTACATATATAGGCCCGGGGTATGAAAATTATGGGGACCAAAATCGTACTAGCATGTCACACGAAATGCGTTATGCGCCTGATTGGCTCCTGATTGCGTGATGCGTGCGCGCGCCAATCAGGAGCCAACGCGCGGCCGCGTTATCACAGGTGACGCCGGGCTGCTGCGCCGGCAGTCCGCCACAAAGCCTCGTACTGATCGCGCGTTTCTCTCATTATTGTATTTTCATATATTTGTTAGTCGTTTGTTTTGTGTCTCGTTAATTTGTTAATAATCTGTAGTGTATCGTGTTGTCGTAATATAGAACTATTTCTCGTATTGTTTCGTTTAATTTTTTATATCCAGTAAACTCCAGTCGTGCGTCGGAGCGGACACACACACTTTTTTACCTTAATTATTTTTCAAGATTTTTGGAACGAAGTTCCTTATCGCGCGTTGTGAAAGGGGGCTAGACGGAAAAAAATCTTACGAAAAGTTGTCACGACACTTTTTAGATCCGTCATTCTGACCAATCAACGTGTAGGCGCTTATCGCGTGACATTGCTCGTATCCGATTGGTCCGCGTAATGAGTACAGTTTCTCGAGATAGCGTTTCCACAATAGTAATTTAGTTCATAGTATTGTTTTTTTCTTCTTCATAATGCCGTAATTTATTATTATAACTTAAAAAAAAAATTACAATTCCTTCACTAATTAATCGAAAGGAACTTCGTTCCATCGGGGTGTCCCTCCTCTGAAGTTTTTTTCGTCAATATTAATCTTGCTTTATTTCATAAATAAAACGTTTGTGAAGTCGTCGTGGTCTAACGGATAAGACGTCCGATGCATTCGTGCTGAGCGATGCACCGGTGTTCGAATCTCAGGCGGGTACCAATTTTTCTAATGAAATACGTACTCAACAAATGTTCACGATTGACTTCCACGGTGAAGGAATAACATCGTGTAATAAAAATCAAACCCACAAAATTATAATATGCGTAATTACTAGTGGTAGGACCTCTTGTGAGTCCGCGCGGGTAGGTACCACCGCCCTGCCTATTTCTGCCGTGAAGCAGTAATGCGTTTCGGTTTGAAGGGTGGGGTAGCCGTTGTAACTAAAACGTGAGACCTTAGAACTTATATCTCAAGGTGGGTGGCGCATTCACGTTGTAGATGTCTATGGGCTCCAGTAACCACTTAACACCAGGTGGGCTGTGAGCTCGTTCACTCATCTAAGCAATAAAAAAAAAAGTCACTACGCTCATAACAAATAATTTTTTTACTGGAAAGTATCAGAAGTAAAAATAGTTCATGGAGTTTTTCTCTCTAAATGGGGTAGCGATACCCGATACGTATTGATAATTTAGTGTATCGAAAAATGGATGGCGACATTTAAATATTTTTATCGATACACGCCAATGCGTATATCGTATCAAAAATATCGTTTTGTATCGACTGCTTAGAGTGATACTTGTTCTATCAAATCTAATGCCGGCCACTGACATGCGCGCAAATATTCGTACATTGTACGAATGTTTGCGCGCATGTGAAGGGCCGTCAAACATTCATTCGCAAACCTAGCGGCTGTGCAAAAGGGTTCGCATACTCAATTTGCGAACCCCTTTGCGCTTCCTCCTAGACTTGTTTACGAATGTCTCACGAATTTCTCCTCCTTTTTAATTCGTCAATAGAACATTGAAAAGAAAAAGAGTTTTGAATTCTTTCCCAGACATCATTAACAGCCATGCTGTTTTTATGGGATTTCTTTTGATGAAGATACGCTACACAGTAGACGTCACGAGCTATGAAAATGGCGATACGTCCGTTACCTTCGTAATCGTCGGCGCAACTGGGCAAGCGAATGTGTGGGAGACTACGCGAAGGTTCGAGGTTCGCGCGCTTTGATGTCTGTTAAAAAACCGACACAGCTTGGAAAACCACGAATGCAGCGAAAACTTTGCATAATCATTCGCAAATGTCGTCCTACACTTGCGGGTTTGCGTATTCGTGCGCATTTGAGTGACCGGTGCAAACAATACATAGATTCAAAATGTTAACAACATAATTTTCTATTGTAATACTGCGTTTATGTGCCGGCTTACACTATTGGAACAGGTACGATGTGGGTAGGTCCTGAAACAGATACTATTTCAAATGAAGGGCTATTAAGGTAGTTCCACAACCAATGGGAGACTGCAAGTATCAAAATTCATTGAAAATCAAGTAGGACTTTTTCAAATCTTAGTACTCTAGCTCTCGAACACTTCTTTGTAGGTGCGACATCAGCCTGAGGTGTGGGGCCTAGATGTTGTTGTCTGTGCGACGACTTTAATTATACTGAACTGACTTACACACTACAAGCCCCATCAGAACGTTTGTTTGTCTTTAGCTAATAAAACGCTGACTGAAAATCGATATAGACTAAATTCACCACGGTTGTCGAGATTATAATTGCTTAAAAGTTTTGATGCTAAACATTGGCAGTTGTAAAAAAACGTGCGATGCATAGTGGTTACATAGTGGTGGTACATACAACTAAACCTAAACTAATTAAATTTTTTACAGACTTGAAACAATAATTTTATTTTGTAAATTATAATTAAAACCGGATTTCAGACAATAGTTTCACTTTAAATTCCAATACGATATTTACAAAACCAGTGCAAAGCGACTTAACGGGCAGCGCTAAGCAGTAATCTTTCTCTGAAATTGGAGGCTGGTCACATTTGACAAAAACGGTATGATCAGATTAGAATCGATATACGAGCACTGAAGTATAATGTATACGAGAAATCGCTATTAGCAAACTCAAAATTTATTTGAAGTACCCCTCTTCGTTTTTTAATTGAATATCAGACAGCTTTCATCTTAATACTAATTTGTTAGGCGAGTTTTTTTTTCTAGCCTTGAGAAGCTATTTCAGCGTAACCTTAGCTAGTAGTAGGTGAGCTCACGGGGCTCAAACCGGAGTGATGCTAACACTGGCCCTAGCAAGAGCCGTGATTCGCAGAATCTACCACCGGTTCGGAAACGCGACCCATTGAGAAGAACCGACGAGAAACTCAGTGGGCTCATTAGGCGATAAAGTAAATTTATATTATTCAATGGAAATTTGTAAAGTAGTAGTTTCATTTTCCATTACAGGAAAATTAAGATATCACAATGTCGACTAATTTTATATTTTATAAATAAAGTCGAAGCTATTTCTGTTACATCGAAACGGTTGAACTTTTCAGCTTGTTCATAGGTCACGGAGAAGCTGTAAAGACTTCAGGCCAATAGCAGTCTCTCCAAAAAAAATTCAATGCAATTAAAATTTATTTGAGGTGTCCTAAAATTACTTGGATGGGTTGTGTGTAAGAGGATATTTGAGAGAAGGATGTCGGTGTGGAGATTACTTATCATAGGTCAAAATGGAAGAAGACATACTATGCTGACCCTACATATTGTGGTATAAAGGTAAAAAGAAGAAAATATGTTATTTTATCTGAAAATGATTATATTTTACAACTACATGCAAATGACAAAGGCAAACTGAATGTTGTTATTCGCAATTTACAAATTAACCTTCAAAATGTTGTTGGCACGATTAAAGAATAGAGGAATATGATTAATGTTTCTTCTATTCTATAATAGCGCGTAATAGAATTAAGTCTAATGAATCATGTCTGGCGTATATTTATTTCTGATCACAGATGCAGATAGTTAATAAGTTAATAAGCCACCTTTTTGCCACCTATCTACCACCTATCTACCCTTAGCCTCGAGGGGCTGTTTTGACTTCACATTGGTTGATGGGCGAGCTTACGGGGCTTAGCCTGAAAGGATGTGCCGGATCACACTGGATCGGAATCTCGATGATAGATTCAGCGTAGTACTCATTTTTCTACGACAGATGTTTGCAAATCCTCAGATTAATAAACTTCTTAGCATGAAAAAAAAGTCTGTCTTCCCGCCAATTTAAGACTCAGATAAAACGTTTTCTTTTTTATTTAATTCCTTGCGTGACATGCATCTGCCATTTTGGCCAGTTTTTGAGCTATTATCATAAAGTGCCTAACCTAACTGGAAAAGTTAGCTGGTAACTTACTCCTTTCCTGTTTCAAAACGTCAACGTGGATAAAATTTATTCTTGAACGAAATATTAAAGAAAGCGCGATTTAATGTCAGTTTTAAACTCAAAACACTGTTTTTCAAGAATGATTGAAGAATCAAAGCTTAGTTTTCTTGTTTCTGATATTGTGCATGAAAATCAAAATAAATATTGCAGGTTATGTCTCGAACGCGTAGACGATGATTTCTTGAGATTTGACGACTACTTGAATAACGATATTGATTGTTTTGAGAACTTAGCCGAACTTCTGAAGATGTTTTTAGGGGAAGAGGTTGGTTAATTAAAATACGCAATGTCTGTATTAAAAAAAAAGGTTTTTAATCAAGAATTTAGTGAAGGTATTCATGATTCATACCGTCTACTCTCAAAACTTCGTTTGGTATAAAATAAGTGTTCATTTGCTTAAACATGTTACCTAGTGAGAGAACTTATTATGAGGCCCCCTGGAGCTATCTTTCTGCCACGAATTCTACTGCGAATTATCGGTTTTAGTGTGCTAAGTAGGACATATTACAATACTACGTATATACGACATATAATACGGGTATCACAATTGGATGGCGGCGTCTACGTTGTGGTTCGTTTGTATATCATCTTTTCAATACTTCACGCCAGGTTGGCTGCGATCTATCGTAATATTTAGGAACCACACTCACAATTGTCGGACGCCTTTATATTTGGGAACTTTTTGTGATTTTCCTGTCCACTACTCTTCATCTCCAATCACCTTGAGCTGCCCATTTAAACCTGAGCACTAAAAAATACCTCTTTATTTTTTTTATTGTTACATTTCAGATTTGTCAAGATATTCCTGGTATAGATGTTGTATGCGTGAACTGTGCTGATAAAACACTGGCAACAATAAGTTTTATTAAAAATTGTGAAAAATCCACACAACTATTGCATAAAGTATTTGATGATCTTAATAGAACATTGAATATTGACATAGAATCATCTCAAACAGGCGAGAGGCTTTACATTGTTGTAGGCAAAGAAGATTCAAAACTTGTTTTTGCAAAAAAAGATAAAATAGATAATGTTAAATCTATTAAAGTTAAATGTAGGGAGTGCGATGAAATATTCTGTAACATACAACAACTTAAAGAACATAATGAAACTACTCATGACAAATACACTTGCACCAAATGTTTAGAAGTATTTTTAACTGAAAATGATTTAATTGAACACGCTGACAGCACTGAAAACTTTACATGTCCTGAATGTCANAAAAAAGATAAAATAGATAATGTTAAATCTATTAAAGTTAAATGTAGGGAGTGCGATGAAATATTCTGTAACATACAACAACTTAAAGAACATAATGAAACTACTCATGACAAATACACTTGCACCAAATGTTTAGAAGTATTTTTAACTGAAAATGATTTAATTGAACACGCTGACAGCACTGAAAACTTTACATGTCCTGAATGTCACCAGTACAGATGTACTAAAAAGAGTCTTAAAAAACATCAAGATGAACAACATACCAATTACATATGCAAGGGATGTGGTAAGACATTTAGAGGTCTACATAAATTACAGAGCCATGAGTTGAGACACAAAGTCAAGAGTACATGCCCAAAATGTGGCAAACATTATATTACCAAAGAATTTTACCTGCGTCATATAAAGCTATGCCTAGAAAACCAGTTGGACCCTCATCCAATGAGAAGTAAATTGGTGAAGACACACTTTTGTGATAAATGTGGGAAAGGATATAGTACTCCTGGGGGTTTGAGAGTTCATGAAAGATTTGTTCATGGTAATGCCAAACCACACATTTGTAAATATTGTAACAAGGGTTTCACAGCTCCGAGCTACTTAAAAATACATTTGGTTACACATACCGGTGAGAAAAAATTCCCATGTGAAATTTGTCAACGAAAATTTGTTTCCAAAGAAGCTCTGTTATATCATACAAGACGTCACACAGGGGAAAAGCCCTACAGTTGTCAATTATGCGATGAGCGATTTGTTAATGCCTCCACTAGGGCTGAACACATAAAATTTAAGCACATTGGCCCAACATTGTTATGTGAAATTTGTTCTCAAAAATTTGTGACACCATCATTTTTAAGACAGCACATGAAGAAGCATCACGATCCAACTAATAAATTGTATACAGAATGGACTTCAATACCTTCCAGTATTACAGAACAAAACATATAGTATATCTTAGAGATTACCTATTGTAGGTGTTATTAATTAGTTATGGTAAGAGTTACTAAAGCATTGTATTTGTGTGAAATTAATAAATTATGTTGCATTTTAGTTTTATTTATTGCAATCTAATCCGTTATATGTAATTATTATTAGTCCATAAATTTGTTTTCATTCAATAATACATCATTGACACTAAGAATTAGCATATTTGTTTTCTTTTATAACACCAAAACTGATAAAAGAGCTACCATACAAAACAATAGGAGGAAATCCTGCTTTACAGTTTTATTTTCGTCTCTAATATAAATATAATTTTATTACCATCTTTACCTAGTAGGTACAGACAATAATATCAAACAATGTAAACTAAGGTTGAAAGTTTTGGGTGTGACGCTTATTAGCATCACATATCTATTCATGTTGCCAAAAGGCATCAAAGGATACACATTATCCCTTTAAAAATAAAACCAAAATGGGACTCATATAAAGGTTTGTAATAAATACATAGATTGTTTTACATCATTCACACTAAGATGATCAATATTTATATCAGGCTCTAGTATATAAAGTTTACTTTGTGGATTATAATGTCTTTCCAGGTGCTTTTTCAAACAGTATGTAGTTATGAATTTTGTGTGGCAAACGGGACATTCTTTTGAAGGGCCTAAATGTTTTCTTCTCTTATGTTCCATTCTTCTAGAGGCTGAAAGAAAGCTTTCTTCGCACATGTCACATGGAAATGGTTTCTCACCAGTATGAAGTCTGGTATGATAAACCAAAGCTGCTTGTGTCACAAATCTGTTCCCACAATGCTCGCAGTGATAATTTCTTTCTTTGGTGTGTTTAACAGTGTGATTCCTAAGTCTACTGACAGCATCAAACTTTTTACTGCACCATTTGCATGATAATGAGTTACCAAACCCATGTTCTGTCTTCAAATGTGTTCGCAAACCATTTTTACGTGCATAGCCTTTTTTGCATATGTCACAAAAAAAGCTTAATTTCTTTGAGTCATCATTACCACATATTTTTAGATGAAACTTCAAAGTGTTTTTATTCAATAGTGATTTATCACAACGAGGACATTTGTACACTTCATGCTTGTCTAAGTGGACTTTTAAATCTTTGCCAGAGGGGAATTGCACNAAATGTGTTCGCAAACCATTTTTACGTGCATAGCCTTTTTTGCATATGTCACAAAAAAAGCTTAATTTCTTTGAGTCATCATTACCACATATTTTTAGATGAAACTTCAAAGTGTTTTTATTCAATAGTGATTTATCACAACGAGGACATTTGTACACTTCATGCTTGTCTAAGTGGACTTTTAAATCTTTGCCAGAGGAGAATTGCACAAAACACAGTTTGCATATGGCTGCTAAATGGTACATTTTGTCATGTCTATGTAGTAATTTCTCAGTGCTGAACATTTTTGGGCATTTTTTGCATTTAATTCGTTTTGGATGATGCATTCTTTCAATGTGTCCTTTTAATAAGGAATATGTAGAAAAATCTTTGGGACATTGAGGACATGAACACTTTGTGCTACAACGGTTCTTCATGTGTCGCTTTAACATCCATTTTGCTTTGAATCTCTCCCCGCATTCATCACAAGTGACATTTTTGTTTTTGACCTTGACATATTTCTGTCTGCTTTTGATATTGTCTTTAATTGTAGTCAATGCTTCTTTCTTATTTGTCACTTGCTTCTTTCTGCTTTTAAGTATGGTATTGTTTTTTCCCATAATGATGTATATTGTTTGTGCATTTGCTCTAGTTGTCTCAGACAGATTCAAGCTGAAATCAAGCTTATTCAGGAAATTATTCCACATGCTTTCTGAGTATTTTATTAACCTTTTAAATAAATATGAATTTATTGTCATTGAAACACAGTTAACGCATAGGGTTTGCGGTAGATCTGTTTCTATAGGTACCTAAAACAGATTGAACTATGTGAGTGAAAGGTAATTATTTTGAAATTGTGTCTTTGAAGTTTTTTATGAATATCATTATGATCAATTTATTCTGATAGATGATGGCAATCAGATATCGGGGCAGTTTTCTAATACACAATTGAATAGATCATGGTTAATTGAAAGCGAAAAACCTGCAGAAAGTTTTCTCACAAATAAATGGAACACTCACATCTAGTTCTAGAAACATGTCCTCAAAAGTTAGTTCTTCGTTACAATAATACTTGTCTATCTTAGCGCTATCTTTTAAATCAGTTCCATCGTTTTGTGTTGAAGTGAAACATAGTCTACAGATGCGCTCAGTCTCACCAGCAACAAACTGAGAAGCCGGTTTCATTATCTCCATAGCATTAGCCATTTTTTGCGGGTATTAAGTTTGAATATAATATTGAATATAATTTTTTAACTTTATAAGTAGGTAAAATAAGGATTTTTACCAATAATATGTACGGTACGGTACCGTAATTTACCATAGATTGGTAATTTACGGTATGTAAGTAAACATACATACACATACCTACCTACATTCTAATTTTTTTACATTTCACAGCTTTTTAATTTATTTGCATTTGGTTAGCAAAGGTAGTTTAGCCCATAGAGCCAAAAATTTAAATACACGTATTAAGTACCTAAGAAGTCAATACTAAAGATGTTAAGCGGTCAATAATTCACGATTATTACCTATAAATTTAAACGTACAAAAAACAGCAGTACAAATGTGATTAATTTATCACTTTAACCTCGACTTTCGGTAATTATTAATAATAATAGATAATTAATAATCTTCAATTATTCACTCTTACCGTAACATTTAACACGTTAACAGTCCCTATACAAGCGTTCCGAAACACGCCATATGTCCAAGTGTGATTATATATTTTTTGGCCATTATTAGATGTCCACCTATCGGCTGATGCATTAAAAGTAACAAAATATGGTCGTTGACCCCGGATATACCCGTGTACAGCGGGCGGTACACGGACTTATGAATTAAATTACCGGGCACCTTTAACGTGTACCTCAGGCTCATGAGTGTTCCCGTAGACGTATGTATGGTTAGTTTATTATTATATCGATGGTACACATCCGCGGCAGACTACTTTTCCGCCCAATACATACCCTCAAACACATAAATATAACATGAAGATCTATAAACTATAGTCTGCAGAACACTTGGGGATACCAAATTTACAATGGTCAAAATGTGCAAGTTTTTGGTTTGGATACCTCCGGAAGTATAGTAGTAACATTGGCAGTAGGTTTACTTGATGAAGGTCGCTCCATGATTACTGACAACTAACTACTACACGAGCGACCCTTTGACAGAATTTATGCTTTCTCGCAATACAGACCTCTGTGGCACAGTCAATAAAAAGAGAAAAGGTTTACCGAAAGAAAAAAGGAGAGAAAAGCATTCTAGCAGCACATGAAACGTTCAAGTTCAAGTTACGCCGCTGAGAAAGACACATTTTTTGGAGTTTTTGGGCAAGAAAGAATCTCGATTCATCCGAAGACGATGCGTGGGATGCTGCCAAAACCTTCTTGATGAAGGTCGACTTGCTCCATATGCACAGGCCAAAGCCAAAAGGATATCAACGCAATGTAAAATTTGCAAAAAAAGCATATTGCGTTGTTTGTTTTTCTAAACTTTTAGTTCACCAATTAAAATTTGTATCTTTTTTTCTAAGTTTTTTTTATGTCGTGTTGCTATACTAAGAATTTTAAAAAAATATGACATGTTTTCGACTTTTTCCATTTATTAGATCCTTGGCCACAAGTCCACAAAGAAAACACTAACTAATTTGACAAGTCCGTGGATCTAGGCCCCGTAGAGAAACACATCGGCTCGTGTACCTCATAGGGTACACGAACTCGGCGGAACCGCTCACCGTGTACCACATACGTAACACCGGACTGTTAACGTGTTAAATACTAAGTTTATTCTTCCATATTAAATGAATTTCTACTAAATGTCCCTGCAATATATTTCTAAAAGACAATTCAATTAATAAAAGACGGACAAACAATTTTTACATTCGAACATTAACGAGAAAACGACGAACAATAAATAAATAAACCCGAAAATCAAAACCGGCGCGCATGCGCAAGTAGGCGTGAGGTGATGGTTTGCTTATTAGATATAAAATAATTAATCATTGGGAATTTAACTGTTTTTATGATCAAACAATCACCAATAGTCATCGAACAAACGATAATTGATCAAAATTAATTAATCTGAGCGGTAAAAATATAGATATGTATCTAGTAAAGGGAGCCAACTTAAGGATGATCATTTGTTTAATTAATTATAAATAAATAAAAGACGAACAAACAATTTTCACACAAGAACATTAACAAATAAAGGACGAACAAATATAAATGAAAAAAAAAACTGAAAATCAAATAAAGGGGGCCAAATTCAGTAAGCCTCTATATATTATGTAGATAGGTACCTAAATGGTTTGATTTAATCTATTTTGATTCGATGCTGTCATTCCATAGACCTTTAATACTTCAGTGAGTCATTCGCAATAATAAAGGTATTTGGAGGCGGACGATCAACACAAATAGGGGTGCGGAAGAGTCAAAATGATCGAAAAAAATCGTATCGTTGTTGTTCGGAATTTGTAAATATTCAAACATATATTGAAATTGTCGTTAGTGAGATTCAGGCATCTATCAAATATCTTATAATCTACGATCGCTCTACCACATATTCATCTGCAGCTTGGTGTGAGGTAGGAAGATGTTATTTCTCCAAAATGGTTCACCACTGTATTGTAGGATGTGTTCAATGCTTACTTTCGGTTTGCCGACGATATCACGACTATGGCTTTTGCTATTGCAAGACCACAGTAGAATTTTTGATACTGTTCTGAAACTTTATCGAATGTTTATGTAGTGGCAGTAAATATAGGGTGCTCTACGCTCGAAGTTGTTGACAGGTATATTTACCTGGGGCAAACTGTTCAGCTAGGTAGGTCTCACTTCCAAAAAGAGCTCAATCGTCGAATTGAACTCGGATGAGCAGCATTCGGGAAGCTACTTAGAATCTTCTTATTATAAATATCACAGTGCTTCAAAACGATAATTGTTGAACAGTGTGTGTCATTGATTATATATGGCAGTGAGACTTGGTCGTTGACAGTGGGTCTTATCAGAAGGATCAAAGTCGCTCAAAGAGCAACGGAGAGGGCTCTGTTTGGAGATTCCCTACGAGATCAAATCAGAAATGAGGAAATTTATAGAAGGACCAAGATAGTCCATAGCCTGACGTATTGCGAGATTGAAACCCATTGTCACTTCAACGAGCAATCTGTCCCCACAGATGGCTGCTGGGGTCGAAAAATTCTCGAATGGTGACCGCAAACTATAAAACGCAGCCTGGATACACCTCCTACGAGGTGTACCAATGGCCTCTTAAAGATCACGGGAATATTCTGAGTCCAGGCTGAGCAGGACGAATAACTGTAGTGAACCTTTGCAGAGGCCTGTGTCCAGCTGTGGTCGTCTATGGGCGAATGATGAAGATACAATTTTTCAAACCTGGATTGTGATTTTGATGTTTTCAGGAAAAAATGTGGATATAGTGCCAATTGAAAGTGAAATTAGGTTCTAAAAAATCTAGTACATCTAGCCTAATGTAGCTCAATCATTGATATTACCAAATAAATACCGGTCATGCTAAATTATTTCTAATAAATAAAATGATAATTATCTGAAATCTACATATTATTAGTTTGGGAAGCTTAACGACGGAGGGAAGATCTTCCACCGAGCGGGTGATATTTGCTCGGTAGACCGACGGTCCAAATTTTCTTGTTCTGAACTTGTATGCGAGCTTATCTTGAAAATGTCGTAAGCAAGATTCAGGCATCTGTCAAATATCTTGTTCTGTGATGGCTACCGCCACATAAGCTAATATTTTGAAAAATTACCTGTGCTTCGCCTACAAATGAGCATGGTGCTATTTACCTTACTGATACTGCCTTAATCTACTCGTATCGGTGCAGTGCAGAAGAAAACTTCTATAGCAATGTGAAGGATATTAATAGCATTTTTTTGAGTTTATCCTTATGTATCGATTTAAAGTCCCCAGTGCGATAGTTCGACTGGGAATTATAAAATCGAATGTAGACAAAAAAGGCGATATGTTTTTAATTAAAATAGAATCATTTAGAATTCAATAACAAATCGATATTGAAAAACCAAAACATTGATATTTCATTTCGATCTATCTATTTTTTTAGCACCCCTATATTATTTTGTATTTGGCTTGTTTAAATGTCAAATTAAGTGTAATACATTTAATTAAAATACTTAAACCTAAGTACAATTAAGTACATACATACTTTATATTTATGTTAGTTATTAAACGCATAAGCACCGGGACGTTTGCATTTTTGACGACAAAGTAAAGGAAAATGACAAATATGGTAATCTTTAATTTTAATTACCTTGGCGCATATAAAACTTTGCCTACTAAAACTAAATGTAAGCTACTAATTGTTAACCGAATAACCGAATTAAAATAAAAAGAAGTGGTAATAAATTTTGCTATAAATACAACCGCTGCCTAATAAGATCACGGTAAGTAAATCGAAATATTAGTATCTGTCTTTTTTAGTAAATGTTATCGTGACCATAACGCCATTCGCTTGAAAAACGACTAAACTATGGCTTTAGATTTAGATAAACACTTCATTGCCTGTTTTCTTAATTGAATTTAATGCTCTGCAGAAATCGTTGGCCAAGGTCATCCAAAGTTATTTACTCACTTTTTTTGTTACATTTTCTTAATCATGATCATAATATGAGAGTTAATAATTAATTATTAACGAAAATCTTTTATTAATTCTATGTATTTAAATTTATATCACATATCTATCTTTTTTAATTCTTGTTTAGAAAAAAATAAGATCTAAAACTCCTAATTAAATATATAATACATTTTGTCGACAGTTATTACATTACTTAAGTTTGCTCTCTTCTCAGATCCCGATGATGTGCCCTATCACGCTTACAGAACCGAACCTGGGAAAACGTCAGTTTCAACTCAACAACATGGTCAATGAAGCTTACAAAAACAGAATTTCATTTGCTGAAATTCAGAATTTACCGGAGAAGTCTCCAGTAGATAGATTATTCAAGATAGACATGGCGTCCAAACTGCGAAACGTAGACTTCATAATCCAAAACCTCCGAGATGAAGATATGTTGTATGTGAGTCGAGCACTGAAGTCCAAGTGGTTGTTGGACCCTGCTCATGAGGCTATCATGACGCCCCAGTGGTTGGAAGATGAACTGTTTCCTACAATGTTTACAACGGCTGTCAGCAAGATGAAGAACTGGTTATATTTGAATCTCAAAGATGAACTACGTTGTCGAAAATTCTATCAGTTCTACAAAGAAAAAGAATTTCATTATGCTATGAAATTTTTCGTACATTGTTCTCAGGATTACATAAACAGTGAAGTCTGTGACATCTTGGGACGTTTGTCTCCACAGCACTTTAAAATCCTGTGTGAGAAGTGTCCGCAGGTTGCGGAGATGTATTTCAATGAAGTTCATAGTGATGACGAAATACTAACAAAATTCTTGGATAACCAACAAGCTTATTATATTGGTTTAAAAGGTATTTTAAAACAGGATCCAACTACATTTTTTAAAATATCAGAAGAGATTTTTGAGAAGAAATATAATCCTTCGCTGACTAGATACATCATGAAACATCACAGAGATAAGTTCAACAGAAAGCCTGAGCTCTATGCAGCTCTGTTGCTGCACACCAAGACATTAGCTCAGTGTCTGAGTGCCGAGGAGTGCAAGCAACTTGTTCTTAGGCTAGCTCGGGCTAATTATCTTAGTTACTGGTTCACCTACAGCAATGTGGAACCACTAATCAAGAGACTGAAGCCTGAAGAACGAGCCTCCTTTAAGAAACAAGTATTTGTGAACAAGGATGTGGGTACTATTGTGGAAGAATGGCCGTATAGTATTCCAGCTCTGCCTACACAGCCATCATATTTAAATGGAACTCATGTTTTTGATGACCAAGAATACTCTCAGGGTCTGTGTGAATCAAAGCTGCTTGGTATTAAGAGACTAATAAAAAAGAAATGTGCTAAATGGTCTGAGTGTGACATAGTACAATGTGAAGCTTTGAAATCATACTTAGATCAGCTCTTTGATGAATATAGATTTACTGGTTTCGGTAAGACATTCTATGAAATATCCAAAAGGATCAAATCTGAAAGCACATACAAAAACCGTGAATACATGATGCTTGTTCTGGTAAGTAAAACTGGGGGCAAACCGGAATGTGTTGCTTCGCTCCTAGAGCTGTTACGGCAGCACAGTAACGAGCCAGCCAACTTGAAGGCTGCAGTAGTCAGGAGCCTTGTGAAGCGCGCTGCAGTGTGGCGTCTACCGCAGGACACGTGGGAGACCCTAATGGTGTTCGCACAAGGACTAGGTCTCGACGGAGGGCCCGCTGAAGCCGAGTGTCACGAAGGGTTGCATGCTGTTGTCATGCGGCAGCTGTTGGGCAGCGGTGAGGTTGAGGCTCCCGTGCGCGAGGCTTTTTTGCAGAATTTCTCTCTGTTCGACCAATACTCCGTGAATGCTGACGAACGCCAAGTGATTAAAGAGCGACTTCCCAATCTACTCCTAGCTGCAGTTGACGCAGAATCAGATCCCCAAGTTCGCGCCGGGCACCTTTGTCTGCTACTGGACACTCTGCAGACTTACAAAGTTCCGGTGGAAACGACAGCCCTGATCCCTGCTGTAACGCATCTAGCGGCACTCGACTTCTCTTCTGCTGAAGGTATACTGCGACGTCTCTTTAATGCAAAGATTGCTCGCCGCATGCTATTCCGCGAGAATTTTACTCTGATCCAAACTGATGTGTCTTACCTGAATGCCCTGCGTCATGACACTTCTGTTCTAGACGTGAACAAGTTTGTAGAATTAATTGAAAGAAAAAAAATGCGTCCTGAAAAGTTTCTGAGGAAACTGTCGATATATTTCACAGAAAGAGACGGCCTGGCCGATGTGTACCTTGCATCCTTGAGGGGCCGTGTGGTGGCAAATTCCGAGGTGAAGCAGTCCCTGGCACGGCCGCTGTGCATCCTGCAAGGAGCAGATCTGACATTCCTCAGAGGACTCGACACGAGCCAGAAGCACATCGCACTGTTAGCAGCAGCTGTTAGAGCTAACATGCATGTCGGCAGACGCAAGCTCCGCCTGGACGAGACTAGCTTGACTGAAGTTGGTGCCAAAGCCGCGGCCAACAAGCTTCTATTGTGCCCAGCGTCACAAGTAGACAGTAACGTACGAGTGTTGCTTCAGTGGACACGTACTATTAGATTAGCTTTGATATTGGCTGAGAGGAACGGAAATGAAGCAGAGACGTATGCAGCGGCGGTCAAACTGAAGTCTATTGGAACGCTTAAAACAGCCCTAAAATATTTTTACCGAAAGGGTAATTCACTTGATTTACGTGTATGGGAAATTATAAGACCTGTTTTGGAAGGAACGGATCTCTCACTGAAGACCCGGACTCACATACAAAAATATATCTTAACAATTAAACGTGTTCCCCTTAAAATTAAGCCGGAATATTGCGCAATCCTGTACAAGATGCTCAAAACGAGTAATCCGCGCAAGGCCACGTGTTTACTTTGCTGCATCGAACATTTGATCCTGAATACTGAAGAAACCTTCATTGAGTCGACGCTCGTCGAATTTTTCGAAGAGGTTGAATCGTTGCGGTATTCTGTTAAAACTTGTGATTTGCTTCAACGTTTTAGAATCTTGATCAAATATTTGCTACTGTCTAAGAATGAAAACGCCCAGAACAAAAGATTCGAAAATCTTGGCGTGCCGCTCCTGAACTTCTTAAGGAACGCAATCGCAGGTGGCTACGGCTCGTTCACCGAACTCTTCGAGGAGGTCCTTCGAACCTTACGCTATCATAAAGCACTCCTCGACCCGATTTACCAGTCCCCATTGCCAATACTAAAGAAAATCGTAGCTTGGATGCACGAGAATTTACCTCTAGAGCAAAATTTCAACTGGTTCATAAACATTCATTTGACCATGTTGTATTCGAAAGCCATACGCGAAAGTATGGTCTCGAACCCCGAAGTGTTTGACAACAAAACATTGATGCGATCGCGCGGTGTGGATCTGGTTGGCCGTTTGTTCGGCACATACATAGCGCAAGAGATCAGAGAATTGATTTCACGTTATTTCGCTTCTATCGTTGAGATCTATCGCGGCGGACTGGAGAAGTACTTCAGTGACTACTTCGAGTACGACGCCACGAAGCGGCGCCTCGCCCTCGCTATCGCGGAAGGGGTTCTCGAAGAGAGCGAGGGCGTGGAAGCGAAGATAGCTGTGTATTTTCTGAAAGACGAGTATTACTCCCTAGAAACCGGTGAAGCGAGCGGTATCGTTGATCAAATGCGACAAATTGAACACACGGAGACAAAATTCTTTGTATATGCGGAGCTATTTTGAGAATTCGTTGGATTTTTGTTAAATGTGTTTTGATGTTTTGTTTGTGCTTCAACATGTACCTATATATATCTATATACATATTATTTTGCTGTTGTAATTGACGAATATACTGCGTCATAAAACAAAGTGTATTGTTTTTGCAAATAAAATGTTAAAAAAAGATTTGTCAGTGTTTGTTACCTGATTGTCTGCCTCTACCTCTGCGTCTATATGAACAAACTCAGAACTTGTGTCTGCGACAGTGCAGTGTGAGTTTAGATAGTAAAAGCTTGTAAAAATGTATTCGTTTGGAAGATGGTAACGATAGGTTACAAATTTCTGACTTATTTACAAGTTTGGTTATTCCATCCAAAACTTGTGAACTAGAGTCATGAGTTTCAATTTATACGTTTACTAAATAATATCTATGATCGTTCTAAAATGTATTGTTGTTGCTCTTGAAGGCAGATACGGATAAAATGCGGAGCTCATAGACATCGGCAATGTAAAGTCAATAGTTATGGTAGGATAGTTCAATAGAAATACATATCTGGTGAACATATTCTTGTTTATTGCCATTTACTGCGTTGTTAATCTTGTATATGATTACTCAGTGTATATTATATTTCAATTAAAATAATATTTGTTATTTTTGATTGTATGGTCGTGTTCTGCGCGTTCGCGTAGGTATTTTATTGAGTTCACACTATACAGTTGTTGGATATTTCTGCAAAGATTACTGGTATAGTACCATCAATGAACAACATGCGGTATTCAAGTAGATTGTGGATAATGAACTGATTTTCTTAATTTTTTGTTCTCAGATCCCCACGATGTGGCCCATCACGCTTACAGAACCGAACCTTGGGAAACGTCAGCTTCGACTCAACAGCATGGTCAATGAAGCTTACGAAAACGGAATTTCGTTTGCTGAAATTCAGAATTTACCAGAGAAGTCTCCAGTAGATAGATTATTCAAGGTAGACATGGCGTCCAAACTGCGAAACGTAGACTTCATAATCCAAAACCTCCGAGACGAGGATATGTTGTATGTGAGTCGAGCACTGAAGTCGAAGTGGTTGTTGGACCCTGCTCATGAGGATATCATGACGCCCCAGTTGTTGGAAGATGAACTGTTTCCTACAATGTTTACAACGGCTGTCAGCAAGATGAAGAACTGGTTATATTTGAATCTCAAAGATGAACTACGTTGTCAAAAATTCTATCAGTTCTACAAAGAAAAAGAATTTCATTATGCTATGAAATTTTTCGTACATTGTTCTCAGGATTACATAAACAGTGAAGTCCGTGAGATCTTGGGACGTTTGTCCCCACAGCACTTTAAAATCCTGTGTGAGAAATGCCCGCAGGTTGCGGAGATGTATTTCAATGAAGTTCATAGCGATGACGAAATACGAACAAAATTCTTGGATAACCAACAAGCTTATTATATAGGTTTAAAAGGTATTTTAAAACAGGATCCAACTACATTTTTCAAAATATCAGAAGAGATTTTCGAGAAGAAATATAATCCTTCGCTGACTAGATACATCATGAAACATCACAGAGATAAGTTTAACAGAAAGCCTGAGCTCTATGCAGCGCTGTTGCTGCACACCAAGACATTAGCTCAGTGTCTGAGTGCCGAGGAGTGCAAGCAACTTGTTCTTAGGCTAGCTCGGGCTAATTATCTTAGCTACTGGTTCACCTACAGCAATGTGGAACCACTAATCAAGAGACTGAGGCCTGAAGAACGAGCCTCCTTCAAGAAACAAGTTTTTGTGATCAAGGATGTTGGTACTATTGTGAAAGAATGGCCGTACGAGGTTCCTACTATCCCTAAACAAACACACGATAGTGGGAACCATGTCTTTGATGATGAAATTTTATCGACACTAAATGAAATAAGTTATAAGAAATGTTTTTTGTCAAGTAAGTGTCGCATGGAGTGTGCTGCCATGCAGTGCATGCCGATTCGAACCTACTTAGATCAGCTCTTTGATGAATATAGATTTACTGGTTTCAGTAAGACATTCTATGAAATATCCAAAAGGATAAAATCTGAAAGCACATACAAAAACCGTGAATACATGATGCTTGTTCTGGTAAGTAAAACTGGCGGCAAACCGGAATGTGTTGCTTCGCTCTTAGAGCTGTTACGGCAGCACAGTAACGAGCCAGCCAACTTGAAGGCTGCAGTGGTCAGAAGCCTTGTGAAGCGTGCTGCAGTGTGGCGTCTACCGCAGGACACGTGGGAGACCCTAATGGTGTTCGCACAAGGACTAGGTCTCGACGGAGGCCCCGCTGAAGCCGAGTGTCACGAAGGGTTGCACGCTGTTGTCATGCGGCAGCTGTTGGACAGCGGTGATGTGGAGGCTCCCGTGCGCGAGGCTTTTCTGAAGAATTTCTCTCTGTTCGACCAGTACTCCGTGAATGCCGATGAACACCAAGTGATTAAAGAGCGACTTCCCAATCTACTACTAGCTGCAGTTGACGCAGAATCAGATCCCCAAGTTCGCGCCGGGCGCCTTTGTCTGCTATTGGACACTCTGCAGACTTACAAAGTTCCGGTGGAAACGACAGCCCTGATCCCTGCTGTAACGCATCTAGCGGCACTCGACTCCTCTTCTGCTGAAGGTATACTGCGGCGTCTCTTTGATGCAAAGATTGCTCGCCGCATGCTATTCTGCGAGAATTTTACTCTGATCCAAACTGATGAGTCTTACCTGAATGCCCTGCGTCATGACACTTCTGTTTTAGACCTGAACAAGTTTGTAGAATTAATTGAAAGAAAAAAAATGCGTCCTGAAAAGTTTCTGAGGAAACTGTCGATATATTTCACAGAAAGAGGTGGCCTAGCCGATGTGTACCTTGCATCCTTGAGGGGCCGTGTGGTGGCGAATCCCGAGGTGAAGCAGTCCCTGGCACGGCCGCTGTGCATCCTGCAAGGAGCAGATCTGACATTCCTCAGAGGACTCGACACGAGTCAGAAGCACACCGCGCGGTTGGCGGCAACTGTTAGATGTAACATGCATGTCGGCAGACGCAAGCTCCGCCTGGACGAGACGACCTTGACTGAAATCGGCCCCAAGGCCGCGGCCAACAAGTTTCTATCGTGTCCAGCGTCGCAAGTAGACAGTAACGTGCGATTGTTGCTTCAGTGTCCACGTACTGTTAGATTAGCTTTAATATTGGCTGAAAGAATTGGCAAAGAATTTGAGGCTTTTGTTACGGCATCTTTTCTAAGACCTGCATCTATAGTAATGTCTGCCATAAAGTATTTTAAACGTGCTGGTTCTTCGGTCGATATTCGTGTTTGGACCACGGTTAAGCCTATTATAGAAAAAACAGATTTTTCTAAATATGTTCGGAAGAGCCCACATGAATTTATAGCAGATATAAAATTCATTCCACCAGAAATTCAACCAGAATACTTTGTCACTATTATCCAGACTCTAAAAATGCTCAACTACTTACCTGCGCTCTCACACATGTACTCACTAGTGTTGAACCTTAATCAAAATTTTGTTGATCACACGATGTTGGAGTTCCTTGATCGATTGTCTTGCGTTTCGTCAAAAGACACAGAACGAAAGCTTATGGTTACAAAGCGATATATCCGTATTTTGATGAAATATTTACTTATGTGTAAGTCTGAAGAAATACAAAAGGAGAGGTTTGAAAAATTAGGGTATCCATTTTTGAAATGTCTCGAGTCAGTCAACAGAGAGCACGAAGATGCTATTTTCGATTATATGGGCGTTATGTTAACGTGCATTCGTTGCAACGAAATTTTCGATCCCAGCTATGTGTCTCCGCTACCAATTTTGGACAAAATTATTTCTTGGATGAACCTCACTTTCCCTATCGAAAAACATTTAAAATGGCACTTGTCGCTTCACCTCACGAAATCGTTCTATAGAGCCGTGAAGCAAAGTGTTGTGGATGCGCCTTGTGTTTTCGAGGATGAGAAACGAAAGAGAACAGAAGGAGTCGACCTGGTGGGCCGATTGTTCGGTCGGCTAATAGCAGCCGACATTGAGGAAATGACATCGAAGTATTTTGATTCATTCGCCATATTGTACCAACAACTGTTAATCGAGTATTTTTCCGATCAATTCGAGTACAGTAAGTCGCTGATGGAATTCATGATCTCGGTGATGAAAGGGATCTCAGAGACAAACAGAACCGGTGGAGTAGTCGCCTTACGTTTTTATAACGACATAAGACTGAGGTACTGCATAGAGGAAGACATCAACGCACATATACTGAATGATTTTAAATTGAAAAATGACAATGAAGTCAACTTCTTTATGTTCGGTGAATGTTACACATCTTTTTAGACGGATATTAACCCTTTGACTGTCGTGTAGTTCACCAGTGCCCTCCGTGGCGCACTGATGTAATTATGTCGATCTCTGTCTGAAGGCGCCGGAATATTTAGTAGACTCGGGAAAAGACAAATCCGAAGATACCTACTGAGCATGAATCTATTTCTAAGAGACCTAAAATACTAAAACATACATTAAAAATACAAGAAGACAAAGTAAGGGAATCCAGGCGCTTAGTAATAGAATTACAACAAATAATTACAACAGTGCGCCACGTAGGGCCCCGGTGACCTACACGGACGCTAAAGAGTTAAAAGATTGATATCAACATATTATGAAGTGCATTTCTTGAACAGTTTTTATTTCTAACATTTTGTTTAATTTAAATTATATAATTTATCCAACGGCATTATTCTTGCTCCTGTTACACATGAGAGTAATATGTTTTTTAAAATCTGGCCAGTTTAAACCAAATACGGAAATGTGGATCTCATGATGCCGATGACGATGCAGGCATCGAGCTGGTTGCGGGGGGAGGGAGGTTGTGGGGGTACGCCAAGCAAGCGCGTCGGTCGTCGGTATGTGATTTGCAACCCAATTGAGATACTATTTTGGAAGGTTTAACGTCCTCGTAATGAGGACTCCGTTGAGCGGTTGGTGGTGCAAGGGAAAGTCTCTCAAAGATCTCCAACACGATGGTCGACCTCATAAAATCGGTGACTCACTCCAACATAAATGATTGCTCTCACTTTGCGAAACATCGTGCTATATGGCGTCGCATCGGTATCGCAGGATCCGACTGATGCATGACCACGACCACTCTGTCAAGAGTGTACGAATAGGAAGGAAGGAACGTCGAAGAGAAGATCTTACCGATCGAGTGATATTGCTCGGTAGACCGACAGTCCGAATGTTGTTGTTCGCAACTTGTATATAAGCAAGCTTATCTTGACAATGTCGTAAGCGAGAATGAGGCATCTGTCAAATATCTGGTGTTCTGTGATGGCTACCGTCAGACTATCAATTTGTAACATTTATATGCATGTGTATATTTAGTTTGGTTTACTTTTTCTGTTACTTTAATTAATTTTTGATTGGCTTGATTTTTTGTTTTGCTCGTGATTTAACATGTTTTTGAAGTGAAAACTTCTTTAGAATCGTTGTGATTTCAAACCGGATGCAACGGAAAAAACGACAGGTAAGAGACAAAAAAAAAAGCAAAAATGTGTAGGATGAAGCCAGCAAAGAATGAGACAGAAATATACATACTATTGAAGTGAAAACTTCTTTAGCATCGTTGTGATTTGAAAGTCGATGAAACGAAAAAGCGACAGTAGAAAGAGACGGACACATACATTTTTAAGATTTAACGTTCGAGAAAATGAGATAGGAAGCATTAGTGTTTTTTTAATACAGCGCCATCTATGAGGTGGTTTATTAATAATGTTTATGAAATCTATTGTTATTATTTTTAATTTAGGATAATACTTGAAGTTAAGATTTTAATTCACAGAGGGCGTTAGCTCATACTATAAAAGTTGATGATTTGCAATTATGTACTTGGTCTACTAAGGACAAAATTTTATAAGATAATTGTATTTTAGTTTTTGAAGGTTTCACTTCTATCACGTGTGAATTGCATACATGTTATTTTTTATTTTGGAAGACCTTTAATCGGCTTTCTGTTTGTATCTGCTGTTTTTCTAGGCCTGATCTTGCTTGTTTACACAAATAATAAAAAGGTTTATATTTTGTATTCGTTTTATTACATAACTTACAATCAAGCAGCTGTGGGAACAGTACAATAAATATAAATACATACATCGATAACGATCGTCGGCGTTTCAACAACTCTTAAATGCATAACGTATATAATTAAAAATATAGAGAAGAATATGGAGGGTAGGCGTTACTCTGCAGTAAATTATACGAAGGACACGATGTTGCCAGCATTTAGAATAATCAACGAAATGGTAGAACTGTAAAATGTTACCAAGTATCAAACCCTGAGTACGTTTATTTGAAGGTTGGAATTAACCCGAGTGCCCAGTGACAACTGCAAACAAGGGTGTGGAGGGGTGTTGTCGGGAATTCCACTTTGAAGAATTATAAATATAGTTTTTTTCTGTTCGTTAACATTTAGTACATAACATGACCGTAAAGATATCCTTTTTACACAATAAACTAGAATACACAACATAAAACTACTTTTCTTTGTTAAGTGCTTCGATAAATTCCTCTAATTTCTCCTGTACTTTCCGCACTCGTTCTGTGAACAAAGTGACTAGTTAGAGCACAGCGGCAGGAGCGGACAGTCGGTTCAGTTCCGGTTGTACTCACTTAGTTCCTCTGCGAGCTCTACCCGCCTGCCGGACAGCAGCTGCTTCTTGAGGTCCGCGTCGGCCGCCATCTGGGGACAAAGGGATCAGTTGCAGCGGCGGGGGACCGACGGGGCCCGACAGGTGTCAGCACAACGTGCGGGGAGACAGTAGACAACCGAACTCCAGCGCACTAGTGCGTGCGTGTGTGTGCGTGTGCGTGCGCGCGCGTGTGTGTGTGCTTTCCGGTTATCGTTCTGGTCGAACCCGTCGCTTGCGACGAAGGGCTTGACGAGTAAATTAACCCTCAGACACAGCCCTCTGAGTTTCTCGCCGGATCTCCTCAGTGGGTCGCGTTTCTGATCCGGTAGTAGATTCTGCGAAGCACGGCTCTTGCTAGGGTTCGTGTTAGCAACGTCGTCAGGTTGGAGCCCCGTGAGCTCACCTACTAGTTAAGGTTACGCTGATATAGCTTCTCAAGGCTCTTAGGTAGGTAGAAAAAAAAGTGTGCCTGCGTGTGGGTGTGTGGTGCGTGTCTGTGCGCATGTACGTGTGCGCGTGCCTGCGTGTGTGCGTGTGCGTGCGTACCTCGTCGAGCACCTCCCGCAGCTCCCGGTCGAGCCTGGCGGCCTCCCGGTTCCCAATCTGCTGCCTAAGAGCGTTAGCCGTGGTCTCCAGGGTCTGCTGGATGCGCCAGAACAGCACCACCTCGCAACACTCCTTCTGCAACATTACTCATTTATTACTCATAGTGTGCTCACCGCGGCCGCTGGTCCGTCAGCGAGTGGTCCAGACCGCGCCCGCCGGGGACCCCGGGGGGTTACAAGTCGGTGCTAAAGTTTTGTAAACTTTTTACTTTGTTACAATAAAACGGACAATAAATTGTTTATTTCTAATAAATGCTTATGACTGATTCGGTGGTTAGTTAGCGTCTCTTAGTACATACAGGGCGGGGGTTGGGGGTTCGATACCAATATCGGGGCAACAATCTGCGTGTTGAACAAGTTGTTTGTTTGCTCTTTGCTGGGTGATTAATATTTATATAATATATGTATATGTTTAATCGTATATAAATATGTACATCTGTCTGTACGACGGGAACGGGAGGGGGAGGGGGTCCGCCTGCGTCTTGTCTCTTGTTATTATTGTTAATTAGAATTAACTGACAATCAATGTCCACTTCTTTTTAAGCATTTGTTACCAACGACAGTATGCGTTGTTTATAAGTTCCGGGCGCCTGCACGCGTCCCTCAGACTAGCGCAGTGGCGGTGGACTCACCCCGGCGCCGTTCTGTTGGCTGTACAAGTAGAAGCTCTTCCTGCAGTCCCGGGCGCGGGTCAGTGCCTGCTCTAGGAACTTCCTGCAACGTGCCACATTACGTACATAATTTCAGTATTGATTGCGTAGGGCAAAGAGTCCCTGGACAGCGCCGAAGAAGCATTTCACAGTTATAATAAACTAAACGAGTGGGCGGCACTCACCTCAGGTACAGCGGCTTCCACGTCTCCCTGATGTAGTCGTTGTCCACCTCCACGCCCTGCCGGCGCAGGTTGTCCCGCACGGCCACCACCTCGTCGTACCTGCGGGCCACACGCGCGGTCAGCAGGGTGCACTGGGGTCGAGGGGCAGGGTCGGGGGGTCGGGGGGTGCTCACGTGAGCTGCGGGCGCGCGGTGCCCAGCTGCTCCAGCTCGGCGGCCAGCAGGGCGCGGCGCCGCTGCTCCTCCGTGGGGCTGGTCCAAGACAGCCAGCGCTCCCGCCACCCCGGACCTGTGGACGCGGGAGCACTGGTAAGTATTGTCGACTCGCTGTAACCTTACATTTTTTTATGATGGGTGGACCAGCTCAGCTCACCTGGTGTTCAGTGGTTACTAGAGCCCATAGACATCTACAACGTAGATGCGCTACCCACCTTGAGATATAAGTTTTAAGGTCTCAGTATAGTTACAACAGCTGCCCCACCCTTCAAATCGAAACGCATTACTGCTTCACGGCAGAAATAGGCGGGGCGGTGGTACCTAGCCGTGCGGACTCACAACACGTCCTACCACCAGTAAACAGATATTACACGAACTGTGAATGTCTACAACGTGATGTTTTTTGGGGCCCATGAGATATGAAATCGAAGTCTCAACTTTCAAAGTAGAGCGAAGAGGACCACGACAGGCCGGTGGTACCCCGCGCGCTACAGTACACACGCTACTGATGAATGCGGCCCCTACCCCGCGCATCCCTCAGCCACCTTACGTCACTCAGGAGAGGGGATGAGGGTGCGCTGTTGTGGGCTCCATAGCCAACAACGTCATTTATAACATAGAGCTGGTATATGAGTGATCAAGGTGACGAAGTACCAGGTACAGCGCATGTCCACGGTTTAAACGTAGTCATAAGAGACATTAATAGACACTTAATTGAAGTTACACTTCTTTAGGCGCGTTATGAAAAATTTATGAGAGTGAAATTTTACGATGCGCGAACACGACACAAAATTAACAAAAATGAAGTTGCCCACTAAAGAAAAAATGCTACCAACAAAACAGAAATGGAACCTTTGTTAGTGGCGCATGTTGGCGCGCACGCCGCCTCTGTTCACTGGGTATTTATATTTACAATATTTATCCACATGCTTTGAGTTTCTACATTTAAAACACGTGTTTTCATTATACAAGTGCGAATTTTATATGTGCGTCTGAATTATAATCAGAAGTGATTTAAATTGTATATTGAAATCAATACTAATTAATATTAGAAAATATTTGTGAAAAAACTGTGTTCATCAACCTTCCTAAGTGCTTCAATACAATTGAGGTTAACTATCCGTATGTATTATTTAGTAATATAAATGACAAAATTATTAAATAATATAATTCATACTAAATATTATTAAATTAATAACATTAAATATTTATTATTCATTATTTAATATTAAAAAAAAAAGAAATAAAAATAAAGTATAACTTCTTACGCGCGTACATAATTACACGCACCCTTTTTTTTATACAAAATATGTAACAATTTTAAAACAATACTTAAATATTGTCTAATATTTACAGCAGTTAGTTTTTATTATTTCTTAAAAAAAATTTTCAATTATTTGAAAAAAGGGTTTCTTGGTGGTAGAGCGAGTGTGGCTACGCACCGGTGAGGTCCCGCAGACGGTCCCGCGCGGCCCCCAGGCGGTCCCCCAGCGCGGCCTCCAGCAGCGCCACGGCGCGGTCCCAGTGCGCGCGCGCGCTCACGCAGCGGTCCTGCAGCGCGTTCAGCTGCAGCACGCGCAGCACGTCCTGCGCGCGCTCCTCCCAGTCGTGCCGCAGCAGCGCCTCGCGCACGGCGTGCTCGCGCAGCCCGCGGAACAGCGGCTCGGGCTCCGCGGGCTCCGTGAGGCGCGAGAACTCGGCGCGCAGGGCCTCCCGCCCGGCCTGCACCGACGTGCCGGGCAGCTCGCGCTCCGCCCACTCGCGCAGCTTTATGTCCACTAGCGTGTTAAACTTGTCTGCAACGAGTTCGCTGTTAGATAACTTTTGAAAACCCTTTTCTCATTTTACATATACTATAGTATAGTTATTATTAAAGTGAAACTTTAATTATCACATCGTCTCAAACTTTTTCGTCTGTGTGTTGCATGTCGCGTGACGGTCGGCTGCGGAGAAGGGGTAAAGTGAAAGGCGCTGGTCAGAACAGCCAAGGCCAATATGACGGCGCCTATAGTTCGCAGCAGCAGAACGTGTAGTGTATAGACTATTACTCATTTGTGCCAGTGCTCCACGCTATTTTGTTTGTTTTTGTCAGTGTTTAATGTAAATGTTGTTTGTCAGAGTTAAACGTCTATAATGTGAAAAAAAGTTTCACTTTTACCGTGGTTTCATAAAACCACACAATCCTTTTTTACTATTTTTTTTAATAAATCAATACTTTTCCAGGAAATAAACTACATTCTATTTACTTATCCAAATGTAAATAATAATAATCATTACATAATCAATCACAGAGTACGGGACTACACTACACAGGGTGCGCCACAAAAGGTACATCGAGCCGAAATCTGTACCCAGTATTCTGTTAGAACAATTGATTCGACGACAACTGTTCCCAAGTAAACAGTTTTAAAATAAATAGTACTTAAAGATAACGAATGAATTAATCTTCTGCCAACACTTGAATTATGTTTTAAACAAAGTACCCTAATATAATGGTGAAAAATAAAGTTGGGTACACAAAGGGATGTGAGTTTGTGATTTAAAAAAAAATTGCTAAATTGAGTGGACGAGCTCATGGCTTGAAACTGACTGAAACGCGAGTGTACGACCAGCCTAATGGAGTTCGGAGAAATACAAAAGGTGCACGTGACGTCACACACACGCATACAAGTCGCAGGCCTCTGGGCCCTGAGGGGTTTTCTGATTATGTGGGCACATCATACAGCTTCTATTCACTTTGCAATAAAGGTGAAGGTTAGTTTAATAGCATTTGCATAAGGTTGAATTTTGCAATTTTAAAGCCTTGTGCAGTTACTATTATTATGTTGGCATTTTTTGATGTGAAACATCTATAGCCGCACGTAAAACCGATTTCTGGCGTGGCGACGCATGCCGTGGCGACGCGTCGTCATGCGCAATCGACTGTGCGATTCTCTCCCACTCGAACCGGCGTTAAGCCATCTCTCTCGCTACACTGAGCTCGGATACTTATAGTGTATACTCCGTAATGTATACAGTGTTGTTTACTACAGTACACATAACCTGTGTTTTATTTTAAAACAAATTATTTTTTCGTGTATTTTATCATTATGACATATTTAGTTCCTATCACAATCTGTTCTTTTCTGCATATTACTTTTACAAAATAATGTCGACGTTTCATATAAGCCAGGCGTCCCGTGACGGCTCACATTTTTTTTGTATTCAGTTTAAAATGAGTGAAACGATATTATTATTGTCTATCTCTTTCTGACACATTTAATTGACTGAACGTCCTACCGGTCTTTTTGTTGTATAGTTTCTTGGCTGTCAGTGAGTTGAGTCAATAAATAAATTCTTTTATGTATGAAGCTACAATTTTTTTTTAATGTGGTTTAAATGGCTGATACTATAGACAAGCTACGACTTGATAAACCCATTCTACGCTGTCTGTACTGGGAGGGACGCTTACTGAAGTCGATCCCGGGGGGGCCGGGGGGTCCGGGGGGCGCGGGCTCGGCCTTCAAGTGTATCTGACGGAGCGACGGCTCTGAGAATTGTTTATTTATTTTACTTTCAACTATTTTGATAAAACAATTCTATTTTATTCAAATTGGTGTTGGATGTGCTTTATCTTATATCTTTAAACGAGCAATTCTTGCATATTAATATATAATTATATAATCTGAATATCGGAAACGGCTCCAACGATTTTCATAAAATTTAGTATACAGGGGATTTCGGGGGCGATAAATCGATCTAGCTACGATTTATTTTTCAGAAAATTGTGTTTTATTCGTGTTTTCAATAATCAACTTTATAGATAATTTTGATTTTTTCTTTAAATAGCCAGTTCATATTTTTTTATTATTCTGTCGGTTAGATCGAAAAATATTATTCATATTTCATCATTTTATCAATATGTAATTCGTATTTAAATATAATTTCTAAAAAAAACTCAATTTAGCAAAAAAAAAAATAACGAGCAAAATTCGGTCATTTGCTACACAACTTAAAATGCAACGGTGGCTCATGACGTCACCGGTGAGTACACGCGCACCGGCCACAATAAAACCCAAATTACAATATAATAAATCGATTATTGATGACGTTAGCTTTGCTGACAATTGTCACTTTCTTTATCCGAAAGGTTGGCTTAAAAAAATCATTAAAATTTTGAACATTTCCTTATATTGCCATTAGTGACCGAAATTGTTTTTTTTGGTCTTTTTCTTTATGGCAATAGTTTTAACTTTATGCCAGTTTCAAGTAAAATCGAATTTGTTAATAGTAGCATGGATTGTTTAGAGGCGTGTTCCGTTGGGATGGCGCACCTTGGTCGTGGTGCGCGGCGGCGGCGGCGGGCAGGTAGATGCGGTCCATGACGGTGGGCGCGGCGTGGTCCCACAGCGCGTCCCGCAGCGCGTGCTCCCAGCGCTGGGCGGGCACGGCCGACAGCTCGGCGGCCTGGTCCAGCAGCTCGGCGCGCGCGCGCTCGAACAGCTCGTCGCGGTCCAGCTCGCGCTGCCTGTCACCATCAACCCTATACTGCTGGTAGGACTTCTTGTGTGTCCGCGCGGGTAGGTACCACCACCCCGCCTATTTCTGCCATGAAGCAGTGACGCGTTTCGGTTTGAAGGGCAGCCGTTGTAACTATATTGAAACCTTAGAACTTATATCTCAAGGTGGGAGGCGCATTTACACTGTAGATGTCTATGGTCTCCAGTAACCACTTGGCACCACGTGGGCTGTGAGCTCGTCCGCCCATCTAAGCAATAAAAAAAAACCCTTACACTCTAAGCCAGTGATGGGCAAAGTACGGCCCGCCGGGAGTCCATCCATCCTAAATATTCTAGTCAGCATTTTGGCGCGCAAAATAAAATCTAACGTTTGTGATTGAAAATCTTCGAATTTTTAACGAAAGCCTCAATTCGTCAGGGGCGTTTTGAGCTTTCATTATCTCATAATTAACTTGACATCATTATAATTATCTCCGCAGTCTGTCACAGGTATTAGTTTATTTATTGGAAAACTAGCGGCCCGCTCCGGCTCCGCTCGGGTCTTTAACAAAAATTTCAACGATATTTGCGGCATAACTATAATAGTTAGACATGTGCTGTCGCGACACTTTTTGTAAATAATAATGTGTTCTACAAAGTCGTAGTACATTATTTTATTCTATCATCAATAGTTTTCGCAGGGCACGCGGTGTAAAGAATATTTTACGTAAATTTTTTACACCTTTGGTTACATTACTGGAGTTTTAGTAAGGATCCCTAATTTTTTTCAAAAAAGATTATAGCCTATGTCACTCGGGAATAGCGTAGCTTCCAAACAGTGAAGGCATTTTTTCAAATCGGTTCAGAAGTTTCGGAGCCTATTCATTACAAACAAACAAACAAATCTTTCCTCTTTATAATATTAGTATAGCAGTATAGAAAAAACCACTCTTTTCGCCTATCTATCACACGCCTCACATCTCACACACCTAACAAGGCGTAACAGTAAAAGGTATTTTGTTTATTAAAAAGCTTTAATACAAAATGCATTTTTTATATATAATTCTGGCCCTACTCTAGAATTTCTTAAAATTTGTGGCCCGCCATTAAAAATGTTTACCCACCACTGGTCTAATCTCTAGGACTTCCCTACTGCCTCGAAAATGCTATATAACTAAATAATTATTTTTTGAGGATCCACTGACAGAAGTACAGTGCGATCACCTGGGGTGTTATTAGCACATTCACAAGCACATCATGCGTATCTAGCTGCGACTGACCACGCTCAAAACCGTCGGACGAGAAACACCCCACTAGTGACGTCACACGGGACTATGGTAGTATGCAACAAGTCAGGATCTCATCGAGTACCTCGGGAACGTGTTCTTCCATTCGGTCTCCAGGTTGAACCTCATAGCTTTGAAGGCGTCGGCTTGCTGCTCGACGGTCGCGCGCACCATCCTCCAGAAGCACTCGGCGACGGCCAGCGACAGGTTCCTGGTGGTCACCTGCGACGGGGTCACCAGACCATTCCTGGGGACGACATCATCAACTCAGTCGTGGCTCCTGTAGTGCGACTTCAGAAGTGGAACAGTCGGTACACGATACAATCCAAGGTTAAGTGCCATTCATGTTGGAATGTGCATGGGCTCCGATAATCACTCGACCGACATCAGACGTGACAGAACGTGAGCTCGTTCACTAAACTATATAATAATAAAAAAGTAAAGCTATTGCATAGCATTTTTTCTCAACTTATGCAAATTATAATTAGACAATGATAATTTAATATTAAAACAATAATAAAATAAGACCACGCTACATTTATAAACATTAACAAAAGAAACACATTAACTGTCCCCTTCACACTCGTAAGCTAGACCGCGCGAGAGAGAGATGGGCAGACTTTTCTTGATGCACATGCAGTGTGACGTCACGCCGCGCGCTTATTCACAAACACTACACAAACGCAATGTGTGAATGTGTTGAACGCGAGCTGCATGGTAGGCGGAGTGGGGGTGTTAGGTTTATTTTCGTTACGGAATTTCTTGATTCGGTCAAAACCCGCGATAAAAGCTATACAATAGCTTAAAAACAACGCATTTGAAATTTTAAGTTTTATCTCCCGGTTGGTGGGGGTGGTATTCACGTGGAAATATCCCTGGGCTCCAATTATCGACCGACTAATGAGCACATTTGCCTGCTTACCCAAAAATACTTATAGCTCTAGTCATATATTATTTGATTTGATATAAAGTTACTTGAATAGTTTCGAGGAGCTGAAGAATCTCTCCTCGTACTCCCTGATGCCCTGGATGGAGTCGTCCCGGCGCGAGCGGCCCGTCACCACGGCGTAGTAGCCCAGCGCCTTCATCGGGAACAGCTTGCCCTCCAGGATGCGGCGGATCTGAAACGTAGCCCCCGTCAGGGTCAGTGACCTCGCGGCACCCCCGCCCCCCCCCGCCCCCTCCCGGTCGGTTGGGAATCTCACCCGGTTCGGATTGGCGAGGTTCTCTTCGGCCAGATCCACCTTGGTCAGCACGAAGATCGTTCGTTTCCCCTGTGGGTCACAGGAAGACACCAGGTCGGTCACGTTGCTGCGCTCCGCGTCCACTGACCCGTCCTGGAAATGAAAATAAATAATTTACTGAATTTTTTTTTTTATTGCTTTGACGGGCGGACGAGCTCACAGCCCACCTGGTGTTAAGTAGTTACTGGAGCCCATAGAAATCTACAACGTAAATGCGCCACCCACCTTGAGATATAAGTTCTAAGGTCTCAAGTATAGTTACAACGGCTGCCCCATCTTTCAAACCGAAACGCATTACTGCTTCACGGCAGAAATAGGCAGGGCAGTGGTAACTACGCGCGGACTCACAAGAGGTCCTATCACCAGTAAAAAGTTGGTTCTGAGATCGTGCGGCGGCTGACACCCCGGGGGCTAGTGGCGGAGCCTACCTGAATGCACAGGATGATGGCGTTGGGGTTGTCCATGTACTGTCTGGTCATCTGCTTGATAGCCTCGCGAGTGTCCGCCGCCATGTCCACGGTTTGAGTCTGAAATAACAACGATGATATATTAATCAAAATCTTCATCATCATCATCATTATCCTGCCCTTCTCTCAGTCACCTGGGGGCGGCACAATATGTTTTCTCCTTCCATACTCTTCTATCATATACCATTTCTTCGCTCACTCCCCTCTTACCCATATCGTCTTTCACGCAATCTATCCATTTCTTCTTAGGTCTACCTCTTTCTCTATATCTTTCCACATTCATAGTTAACACTCTCTTACCAAACTCATTTTCATTTCGTCTCATTCAGCTTCTCTGTCACAGGTGCCACTTTCAGACTTCCTCTTAAATATTCATTCCGTATTCTATCCATTCCCGTTACTCCACACATCCATCGCAGCATTTGCATCTCTGCTGCATGCAATCGCCTTTCATCCGCCACTTTTGTTGTCCTACAAGCTGATCCATACAAGACGGCAGGCCTTATTAAGGTCTTATATATCTTCCCTTTTAGGGGAAGAGGAATGTGTGAGTCACATGTGGTGCCCGTGACCTGTCGCCATTTCATTCATCCTGCGTCAATTCTGTGCCTCACAGTACGATCCAGTTCACCGTCGCTTTGGATAACAGACCCTAAGTATCGGAAGTCATGACATACTGGCAAAGTTGCTCCGTCCAGAGCAATGAGTGTAAAATTGGAGACCGCCAAAATCCCAGAACAGATGTTCGGTTTTCGATCTGCTGATTTTTAGGCTAACACTATCCAACTTGCATCGCCATTTCTCCAGTGTATTTTGAACCTCGAGCCGTTTTCTCCGACGAGCACTGTCATCGGCAAACAGTATACACCAAGGGGGCTCTTCCTGGATCTTCGATGTCAAGGCATCCATCAGCAGCAGGAAGGATAGGGACTTAGCGCAGACCCCTGGTGTAAGCTCACTGCCACATTGAACTCGTCGGAATTCCCCGCGGCGGTTCGTACATACGTTCTGGCTCGACTGTACATGGCACAGATTGACCTCACATACTTACCAGGTATACCTTTCTCATTTAATGCCCACCACAAAACTGCTCTAGGTACTCGGTCGGACGCTTTTTCCAGATCAACGAACACCATATGCAGGTTCCTGTGCACGTCGCGATGTTTTTCGCACACTTGGCGGAGTGCAAATATGGCGTCCGTTGTCCCGCGACCAGACATGAACTGGTTTTGGGTGATCACACTTTCATCTCGCAACCGCTTTTCTATCATTTTCTCCCAAGCTTTCATACCATGTGACATAAGCTTTATTCCCTGATAGCTGCCACAGTCTTGCACATCCCCTATATTTTTGTATATACCAGTGTACTGGTGCACCATTCCGTAGGGATCACTTCTTCTTGCAGCACCTTATTGAAGAATAAAGTCAGCCACTTATATCCGTCTTCTCGCAATATCTTCCATACTTCTACTGGTATACTGTCTGGTCCTTCCGACTTTCCGCTTTTCATACTTCTCACTCATATTAATCAAAATCTTATTAACTAATTTATATCAATATATCGATAGAGGTGATATTATTTCCAAATTTTAAACTTTAAATGGCTTAAAGGTAATTAATTCATTCTTTGAAAAAGTTTTTCAATCAATGTCAATGCTCACCCCAAACGTAGCATCGTTTTATGCATTATTCAATGCTACATATTGATTGCATCCTGCGCGAGGACCCTTGCCCCCCCCTTGGTCCCCCACCGGACCTACCGGCAGCACGCGAGTTACAAAGCGAGGTGGCAGTGCAGTTACCGAGATGACTCCGGGCAGGTCCACCAGCACCATCCGGTGCAGGCCGGGCCCCTTCACCGACATCGAGATGACGTCCGACGAGACCGTGCGGCCGCCGCGCACGCTGTTGCGCATGCGCAGCTCCACCTCCCTGCCGAACATGACGCACTTCCATTCAAATATCACTCATTTATTAATTTCAATCTTTTTTTTTTACGTGACGTCTTATAATTCGATGGAGCCGGCTGCACGCACGAAAAAAAGACTCATGCGGCGTTACCTCGCTCTGAGGCGTTCCATTTAAGGCTTGAAGTGCAAGCGAGAGCGCACAACGAGCGACAAAGAGGCACAATTGGCCTCCGCCTTCGGCAGCGTTCGACATCTGTCTCTCTCCTACTTGAGTGAGCAATGCATCCGCGTGGACAGCTGCTATACATTACATGTTACATACATTTACATGTTTTCGTCAAGTATGAAGTTCAGTGAAAAGTGAAGTGGTGTCAATTGTCCATACAAAATATCTATCAAACAATAAAATTAAAATTTTCTTTTGAAAAATGAAACTATTCCATCAGTATTTTCTTATAACGTTGTCACGTTCAACTATCGTCAGTACAGCTCACAGCTCAACTGATGTTAAGTGGTTACTGGAGCCCATAGATATCTACAACGTAAATGCGCCATCCACCTTGAGATATAAGTTCTAAGGTCTCAGTATAGTTACAACGGCTGCCCCACCCTTCAAACCGAAACGCATTACTGCTTCACGGCAGAAATAGGTGGGGCGGTGGTACCTACCCATGTGGACTCACAAGAGGTCCTACCACCAGTAAAAAACCAGTTTTATTGCCCTTGTAGGCAGACGAGCATACGGCCCACTTGATGGTGAGTGGTTACCGTCGCCCATGGACTTCAGCAATGCCAAGGGCAGAGCCGCTGCCTACCGCTAAAATTTTACTTTTTTACTAATTAAATTTGATTTGATTTGATGTTCAATTAATTGTTTAAAACACATATTGTGATGAGTACACTCACTTCCTTAAGTCAGCTAAATCAGATTCCTTATTGAGATCAAACTCTCTGGAGGAGTCCCTGAACTGCGCTACGTGGTACGGGCCCTCGGACAGCGTCACCTTCACCGGGGCTCTGGAAACACATAACCCAGTTTTATACTTCACACACTTCGGAGTAAAGGAGTGTATGCAAACCAAATATATATTTTTTAATAAATCACTCACAACCATCTGGTCGTATATTAGGATTCCATCTTATGGGTACCAGAGACTAACACACATATTTATATACATAGGTAAATATAGATATAGATATGTACTAAGGTTTAATTATAAGAATTTTAATATGATTATCTTTACTATGAAAGCAATAGAATTTATAGGGACGGATTGTGACAGTATATGAGAAAACAGGAACTGAGAACCTTGCCTAAATGAAGCCACGATTCCTCTGTCTTTAGGAAATAAAAATTTAGTATTCAATACACAAGAGTATAAAAGTGTGTAAAACATATTGGCATGAGGGCATTGACCCCTTAGGTCAGCTGATTTGTTAAAACATATTGGCATGAGAGCATTCACCCCATAGATCAGCTGATTTGTTAATCATGTGTAAGATATGTTGAAGTCGGTACGTCGCCAGAGCAGTAGAGTGGTCCCACTGACCTGGTGCACATCTCGCCAGCGCCGCGCGGGAAGATCCTGGCCTGCGCGATCATCTCCAGCACGGAGGTCTTGCCGGCGGACTGGTCGCCCACCACCACCACCCGCGGCAGCCGGTCCGCGCCGTCCGCCTCCCAGCCCGCCAGCTCGTCCAGCACGGACGAGTACATGTCGATCAGTGACCGCTGCAACACAACAACTTGTGTGTGCATCCCTGCACTTATTTGGGACTGCTTCTCCATCTCTAGTTACATCAGATCTAAATAACGATGTTTGTAGACAATCTGGACATAAGCTTATGTTCGGATCCAAGCAAATAAGGATGGTTTTTTTTTTTTTTTTTTTCCTGCCTAAACTGATAGCCCTAGGGGCTATTTCAGCGTAACCCTAACTTTAGTAGGTGAGCTCACGGGGCTCAAACCTGATAATGTTGCCAACACGAACCCTAGCAAGAGCCGTGCTTCGCAGAATCTACCACCGGATCGGAAACGCGACCCACTGAGAAGATCCGGCGAGAAACTCAGTGGGCTGTGTCTGAGAGTTAATTTACTCGTCGAGCCCTTCGTCGCAAGCGACGGGTTCGACGAGAACGGTGACCGGTGCTTGAAGTACCTAAAAGCACCGTTAGTGGATCGGGAGGATCCGAAATGACGTGTTTTGGGCGACGTCGACTGCTTTCCATTCTGTCCGCAGGATCGGGAATGTAGTTACCAGCAGCCACGATGAGAGGGTTCTCGTGTCGTGCCGCTTTATCGAAGTGGCGCATCGACGCCGACTGTAGATACTTACTGATGGACTCTAAGTCCAGGATAAGTCTGGGAGTGTTTGGGTTAACACAACATTCTCCTGGATCTACAGAGTCAAGTAATGATGTTGAAAGTCAGGAAGGGATTGCACAATAAAGTTAACCATTTATGAACTACATTTGGTAGTAGGACGTCTTATTAGTCCGCACAGATAAGTACTACCGGGCGGAAATAGGTAGGGCTACCTATTTCTTCTGTGAAGCAATAATGCGTTTCGGTTTGATGAGTGGGGCAGCCGTTGTACTGTGAGAATTGAGAATTAGAACTCACGTCTGGATTTGACAGTGGCATTTACCTTGTAAGTGTCTATGGGTTCCGGTAACCACTTAATACCAGGTGGCCGTGGGCTCGTCCACCCATCTAAGTAATAAATAAAAAAAATTGTAGGTGAAAGATCTCATAGCTCATCTTGTCTTCATTGATTAGAAAGATATACCAATGCCACATATGCATAAAATAATATCAATTACTAACTAAGTATAATAAAGAAAAAATACTTTAGAGGCAAACATTAGGTTAGTTTTCAGTTTCAATTTCATTAATCATTATTTAATTATGCTGAATAAGGTCAAGACAACCGGTTAAAGTAATAAAATCATAATCTCATAGGTCCTTGATAAGTGTGATATTCAAATCACTTCAGCTCTGCCAAGCTGGTACGAGAGTGTCGGATATAATGACACATCTATGACTGACCTTCATCTTCTTAGTGGAAGGTTGCCTGCCCTGTTTCAGCAGCATGTTCTGCTGCCTCAGCTCTCTGTTCTCTTGTTCTAGCCGCTGCAGCTCCCTCTGGTAGCGCGCCTGTAGAGCCAGTACTTCCTCTTGCAAGGCGTGGACACGTTTCTCTACAAAAACACATGTTTTCTGAACTTACAAAGTTATTGACATAAATGAAAACCATTTTTTACTCATCATATCTGATATAAATGAAAAGTGCGTGTATTAAGTTATTTTCATTTCACAGTTACAAGTATGATGTGTCACCTACCCTCAATTTAATTTATCATTAGAAGGATTACATTCGGGAATATCAGGAATTTTAAATTAAAAAAAATAGTTTAAAAATGAATCAGGTTTAGATGCCAAAAACAGAGACTACACGTGAATATTAAGTTATTTTTCTAAGTCTAGAATGGACGGTAGGCTTCTGACTTTGATCAATAACCTAAATGCTGCTTGCTACCCACCTTGAAACATGATTTCTAAGGTCTCAATTTTACAGTACAACGACAGCCCCACGTTTCAAATCGAAACACATTACTGCTTCACGGTAGAAATATGCAGGGTGGTGATACCAATCCGTGCGGACCACGAGACGTTCTACCACCAGTAATTGCTTGATTACTTGATTATTTGATTTTATTTATATGTTACGCCGGTAAAAGTAACACCATCTATGACCGAATAGCCGAACGAATATCGAAAGTACTAGTAAAATCGAGAAGTATAACGCCATCTATTGTCAGATAGCAGAAATATACATCCAAGCTACTCGACTTGTCCAGAATGTACTCGATAAATCTAGGGATGTCGTATCGACTATAAAAGTGTTGCAGAGATGGCACGGATCGCCTGAAGCGAAGCGGAAGAAGTTAATTGAGATTTTAAAGTGTTCTGTAAGTGTTCTAGGTGCTAATACAGTTTTAATTTGTAGGTCGGCAGTATTTTTATTTATCCCGAACCCCAGCTTGTAACATATGCAATGTTATTTCTTCACTGTGGAAGTCATCGTGAACATCTGTTAAGTACCTTCAACAGTTGGTACACGCACAGGCGCTACGGATACACCCGGGTAAACTGAGTGACATAGAAATGTGAGCAAGTCGCGGACTCACCGTAGTGCGCGGCGTCGTCGGCGGAGCGCGCGGGCGGCGGCGACGCGGGCCTGCTCTGGAGGTTGTTCACTATCTTCGGAGCCGGCTCTGAACAATACACTGCATTGGATTATCTTGTGTTCATAAATCAACGTTCAATAAATAGTTTATAAATATTTTATTATTTCAGTAGGTAACTAAATTCTATTTTAATACTTAATTGTTTTTTTTTATTGCGTAGATGGGTGGACGAGCTCACAGCCCACCTGGTGTTAAGTGGTTACCGGAATCCATAGACATCTACAACGTGAATGCGCCACTCACCTTGAGATATAAGTTCTAAGGTCTCAAGTATAGTTACAACGGCTGCCCCACCCTTCAAACCAAACGCATTACTGCTTCACGGCAGAAATAGGCAGGGCGGTGATACCTAACCGTGCAGACTCACAAGAGGTCCTACCACCAGTAATCTTCTAATGTGAATTTTTAGGTATGGCAACACCTACATTGCCACTCAATTTTTTAAATAAATTTTACTAACTACAAAATACATTTATTATAATTCTCAAAAGTTATGGCTCACCTAATCGTTGTTGATTGTTAACGGCTGCGGCCGCCACGGCATCTTCGTACCTCTGAGCTAACCACTCGCGCAGCTCGGTGGCCCTGGCAACACCAGCTTCACGGAGTCGTGGATCTAATTATGACGTTTTGTTACAGAAGTAGCATCTCAGACCGGGGAGGATTTAGTCTGAAGTCTGTTTATGTTTTCAAATATTTAAAGGACAACATGTAACACAAGAAAAAATAGGCAAGCAGCCAAGTTTCCCAGATGTGTCAATTAAACTGCTGGAAGTCAGTTGAATACATTGTTCTGACAATGGAACATGGGGAAGCAACATGTGAGACTTGGGTTCAAGATCAGCTATCCATCTCTTGGTTTAGGGCATGTTAGTTTAGGGCATGGAAAAAGATATTTAAGATGTAGAGGTACCAGCCCATATCAACTCAAACTATTACATAGGGGCAAAGTCAAGAAAACTTAGTAAGATTATATATTATAACTGTCTAGTACAGAAAATGGTAAAGTTGTCTTTGTGGAGGCTAGGGTAGCAGCACTCATGTGGCCAAACTAGTTAATATCATATGAAATCCTCTGGATTACAGTCATGGCTTATCATTGGCCAGGGACTAGAGAGTAAGGTAAGACATTAAACAGAACAAGGTTGGAACATAAATAAATTTGTAAGTTTCATCACTTGAAACACCATTTCAAGATTAAAGACATTTTTCTGTATTTATATGAGCGTAATGTGGCGTTTTTGTACAATAAAGCTTCTCTACCTTTTGTACCTTTTCATTTTAGTATTGACAACTTACCAATCTGCAATTGATCACCGATTTTATCTTTTGCTGTAATCAGTGTAGTTGTAAATCTATCCCATTGTTCATTGTCGGGGAGCAGGTCATTTAACCAGCCCATATCTGGAAGACCATCCTTCCACTCGGCATATTTCTGGAACAACCAAATAGATTATCAACCAGTTTTCCTATAATTATCAGCAAGACATTTTTATACATTTTTAATAAATGTCTATATGCTCATGAAAGTCTAAATAAAACAGAAAACTTTGTTTATATAGCCTAGGAATACTTTATATGATAATACTGGTAGTAGCTGCTATAGGCATTATGAGCCTGCTTAGATGAGTGGGGAGCGATCTTGCCTATTTTTAGTGTGAAAGAAACACTTGGTGTGTTTTGAACTTAGTGGTGACACTGAACTGGTAATTTATGATTGTATTGTAATTATATGTAATTCTGGATTCAGGAAACCCATTAACCCTAGAAAGACAAAATCAGATAATTTTAATCATAAATTAGTTTTGACGTGACGGCCTCTTATAATTTGCTGCCGCACGAAAAAACATGACTCATGAGGCGTTCCATTTAAGGCTTGAAGTGCAAGCGATAGCGTGCATAGAGCGACAAAGAGGCACAATCGGCCTGTGTGTTCGGCAGCGTTCGACATCTGTCTCTCTCCTACTTGAGTGAGCGATGAATCCGCGTGGACAGCTGCTATACAATAATACATTTACAAGTTTTCGTCAAGCATGAAGTTCAGTGAAAACTGAATGTAGTGTCAATTGTTTATAGCAACGATAATTGCGATAATTGAAAAATGAAACCATTCCATCAGTATTTTCTTATGACATTGTCATGTTCAACTATCGTCAGTAAACCGACTTTACAGACAACCGATTTTTTTGTTTAGGATTAATATTTTTAAACATATAACAAGAACAACACAGCTAGATGCAAAAATAAATCTCTGATTTTAAGGATTTTTTTGATGTGTGATGATGTATGTGTATTTCCATATATTAATTTTTATTTTTGTAAAGACGAGGAACATACAATATACATAGTGCTAAACAGTTGTTCAGCCTTGTAGTAAATGTCTCACCTTATTCAACGTCATGCCTCCACCAACGGCACCACCGAGAACTAAGTAACGAATTTTCAACACTCCTCTAATAGCCCTTGCAACAAGCATACCATAGCATCTTCTCTGCACATGGCTCGTATCTATTGGTTTGTACAGTAGCATGCTACGTCCAGTCCATATTGAGAATGCTACTGCTCGTTTGTCGATGCTGACCCATGATGTGTTCTTAAATGATGATCTGGAAAGTTTTTTTTGTACAAATTTACTTATGAATTTTTAGAGGTAGTTCTGATAAGAACTTTTTTCATTTTAGTTGTCTACAACAAGAATCTATTAAATTGTGAATAATTTATTTATTTATATTACAAAGTTATTTTTGGTTTATAATTTATGTAGTAGTAAGTTCTAGAGTTTCCATTAAGTTTATAATAGAATCCTAATAACTCAAACATGCTTCATATAAAATCTTACATTACAATTCCAATTTAAAAATAGGTAATAATGTATAATTCTAACTGAATTAACAACAGTGACAATCATTGGCTTTAAGCATCACCATCACACATGTCTTGAGGGATGCGAGTGTGTTGGGGAGTGGCCACAATATTAAACTCGGTTTTCCATGGTTTAAGAATGAAACTAAGTACAAATTTTGATGTCTGGAAAACAGCTTTGGCCTCCTGGCTGTGGCTTCCGTGAAAAGTTCGGATGGTTGATTTTCAAATTGTAAATATATAAAAAAATATTGAAATATTAAGAAAAAATATGTTTGTTAAGTGTCGTACCTTACACGATTATGTAGTATTCTGGACATTATTTATTTTGGTTTACTGAACAACATAGGTAACCAAAAAATGTTTTTAAAATGATAAATTATTTCATAACCTTAACCGGTTCAGAAAAGGTAATCACGTAATACACATAAGAAGTTTGTAATATGTAACAAAAAATATTAATGTATATTTATATAACGCAATCAACTGTATATTTATAAAGAAATCACGGATTTTCAATTCATATTTTGGATTTTTTGACAGATCATCTATCAAATCAACTATTTGAATTTTGAAAAGTGGAAATAAAAGACATTTCCATTACATTATCTTTGCGTTTTATTTCTGCCATATTAAACATTCGATGAATCATTTTAATTACATATGGAATTTTGTTGTATTGGTAACTATCATTGTTTTATAAAAATGACTCGAATTTTATCATAAAGTTTTGTTTTGGGGAAAATAAAATTATAAAATTAAATGTTCTTGCACTGTTTGAGCATATTGTAAGAAAAAGTGTCCACGCTGTCCAAGTTGTCCATCGGAAATCGACCAACTAGAGTGGCGCAACCGTAGCCAGTGGTGCAATTTAAATGATAGTGCCAAGAGCTATCAAAGTAATATACTAAATAAATAAAAAATGTGTGCAATTCACACGTGGTAGAAGTGAAACCTTCCAAAATTAAAATACAATTATCCTAAACGTCTTAGGTATATGTAAAATTTTGTCATTAGTAAATAATTGTAAGGTAGCGCCCTCTGTGAATTGATATTTTAATTTCACGTATAATCCTAAATTAAAATTCACTACAAGAGCTTTCATACACACGTTAGTATTAAAAAATCTCACAGATGGCGCTGTATTAAATAGTATGTATATTTCTGTCTCATTCTTTGCTNAATTCACTACAAGAGCTTTCATACACACGTTAGTATTAAAAAATCTCACAGATGGCGCTGTATTAAATAGTATGTATATTTCTGTCTCATTCTTTGCTGGCTTCATCCTACACATTTTTGTATTTGTGTCTCTTACCTGTCGTTTTTTCCGTTGCATCCGGTTTGAAATCACAATGATTCTAAAGAAGTTTTCACTTCAAAAATAAAGATTTCCGTTTTATTATGAAAAAACTGACATAAACAGACATCGAAATAGAATAACCTTGATAAATGATTTGAGTACACACATTCAAGACATTTCACTGCGTTTTGCTGTATTTATACCACTTGCTAATCTACTGCTATTTTGGTGAGTTTTTGAGTTGTAATTTGCTGCTTACAGCTAGACACTTTATCAACTCCCATTTAAATCCCTTAAACAACAATTTTTCTTAGCTCTACTCTCTGCAATTTATGGTCTTTATAGTAGTTTTTTACTTCGATTAAAATGGCAGCCCCATTTAGTGGCCGTCAGTAAAATGTCAAAAAAATTTATACAATTTTCAATGAATTTTAATTTATCACAAAACTGGGTTCATTCGAACCGTTGTTCGTCATAGTGTTGATAAAAAAGCGCTCGAAAAAGAACTTTTAATTGTGAAAAGTGTTAGAAAACTTATCAGTACCACGATGGAGTGTATTTACTGAAATTTTACTTCGGCTACTACGTAAGTGATTCTCCCTTAAATCACAAAGATATCGCAGGTTCAATGTTTACTATCATTTAATTGTTTATTCATACAGGAAGTGATGATATCACGACCGGATCTTGAACTTTATTGTGGAAATTAATTGTCAAGTGATAAATTTTATTTTTAGTTCTAGTATAACTACACGCCTAACTGTACCGTATTTTTTTCCTTGTTCTGATATTAAATGTCGACATTTAGTGTCGTTTTATGCGCACTGGTGTTATAAAAATAATGAACATATAAAGCCGATGCTGCTTTAAGGAAGTTTTTTTTTTTAAAACGCTATCGTTCTTTAGTATACCTATCCTATATAAATATATAAATATAAATGATAATGGTAAACACCTTTATTGATAGATATAGAATAATTCTGATAACAAATAGCATTCTTTTAACATCATTAAATGTACAATACAAAAAATATTTTAGCAATTTTGCTGTGTAGCATGTAGCATATTATTAACCTTTCCAAGAATACAATATAGAGTAAATGATATTTAGACTTTAAACCAACAAAAGACAATTAATATTCTCAGCAACAAAACAGGCTAATTTCAGATTATTGAAAAAAATAATTAATTGTAAACAATTACAAGTTCCTTGTGCCTGAAAATGTATTTTAAAAAGTAATATGCCTATTCACTCTTTATAAATTTTTTTTCTATCTTTAATTTTTTTTTTGCTTAGACCACAGTTGAGCTTACAGCCCTTCTGGTGTTAAGGGGTTACTGGATATTCATTAATATATATTAAAGCAGTTTTATAAAAGGCATAGATGCAATACAATACTCTATTTATTTATAGGTTAATTGGCTTAGTATTTGCAAAATTAATATTGTAGCTATAAAATGTGTTTGTTATCATAATAATTAATTTTCCTCATATAAGGGATTCCTCACATTTTCCTCAAAATTAGTTCAAAATATCTATTATGATTAATACATTATTTATTAAATAAGAAGCATTTTAAGCACAAAATAAATCAGTTTTATGATTGATTTCACATTTAAACATTTCATTGTTAGATAGTGGAGTAGAATAATTTAGTTTTTAGTTCCCCAACCAGTGTAGTGTTTCTGTTTAAAAGGTGGGGCAGTTGTNTTCCTCACATTTTCCTCAAAATTAGTTCAAAATATCTATTATGATTAATACATTATTTATTAAATAAGAAGCATTTTAAGCACAAAATAAATCAGTTTTATGATTGATTTCACATTTAAACATTTCATTGTTAGATAGTGGAGTAGAATAATTTAGTTTTTAGTTCCCCAACCAGTGTAGTGTTTCTGTTTAAAAGGTGGGGCAGTTGTCGTACTAGAAAACTCAAATTTACTCATATCTCAAGGTGGTTGGGTGGTTGGCAGCATTTATGTTTGTAATGTCTATGGCTCCAATTGACACTTAACAAGAGGAGTACCGTGAGCCTACCCGTCTAAGCAATAAAAAAATTAAAAATAAAACATATTATTTAGTCAAGGCTAATGGCCAACTGAGCAGTAGTAATAGTTTGGTGGTAAAACTGGTGGTTGTGGTGGTAGTAACAACAAACTGCCAATTTCTGCATTTGCACATTCCAGCTGAGAAGTACTGCTTAGGATATCAAACAAATTATATCAAACAAATGGAAGTTTCAACCTCAGAGCTTAAACTGATCCAGGTGAACTGCTGTGTTGACCATACAACAGGTCGACTGTGAACTCTCATTTTAATGGCCTTGACTACAACACATAGTGTATTATGTTGAAAAAAAAGAGTGTAGACACGAATATGTTATAAGGATATGAAATATCTAGCTTAAAGTCTGTTAAAGAAATACTAATTACATCTACACACGGAAATTTTAAAAGCTACAAGGTTAATATCGATACCAAAAGTTTGTAAATGTCTTGTAAATCTGTGAGGAGTGTTAAGTAATATAATTTGAGATCGACAGTTAGTAATACTTTGTATTTGTGTTTCGATTAATTAGCATCACTGAATGCTGGCTTTGTTTGTGAATTTTTAAAGGGTAAATGACTTCTCTATGATTGATTTTAAGTTAAGTTTGAATTATCTTAATACAACTACAACTTTGCGGCAGGCAGCGGCTTGGCTCTGCTCTTGGCATTGCTGAAGTCCATGGGCGACGGTAACCACTTACCATTAGGTGGGCTGTACGCTCTTCTGTCTACAAAGGCAATAAAAAAAAAACTTTAAGTTCCATCTTGCTCATGGGATCACGGGCTCACCCTGAGAGAATTGCTGACACTAGCTCTAGCAAGAGCAGTGCTTCGCTGAATCTACTACCGGATCGGAATCCCTAACCACTGAAAAGATCCGGCGAGAAACTTAGTGGTCTATGGGCTAGATCGCGCGTCGAACTCTTCATGGGAGTGGACGAGTTTGACGAGGACGGTGACCAGTGCTTGAAGAGCCTAAAAGCACCGATACTGCATCTGGGGAATCCGACAAGACATGTTTTGTGCGGCGGCGGCTTTGCTTTGCCTCGTCGCGATCCAAGCGATATGGCTTCTCACAAACTCGCTTGCGTTATCATAACTATCAAGCTATCAATGTTATTGCAAGTGATTTTGGCCAGGACGTTCGACATAACGGCACAAGAGACCCGCTCTTTTAAAAATTTCTTAATGCCAAAGTGTAATTATAGATTGTTTTTACGTAAAGCGTTCAGACTCGTTCGAATCCCGCAACAAATATTGTTGCATCTTAAGACTATAAATAAACTCGAACAATTTGTTTACGCGCTCCGCAGTCTGCAGTCTGTAATAAACGCAATGTTTATAATTGTACTTGCTGAGGTCAAATGTGTTTATTATTTTGACCGAAATTAACTTGTTTCGATTAAAAAAAAAGTATGTTGCCTCTAATATAATTATTTTTTGTCTGTGTTTATTGAGTGTGATTAATGATATGGGTACGAGAGTAATAGTGTTTGTTCACTTTAGCTAAGGGGCTCTGTGGCATGTTCGGATATAAGTCTAGTGTTCACATATGAATCGCACGTGCGCGCCGTAGCTCCCAGCGGGCACGCTCACTGTGGGCACGTGTATAACTTACGCGTGTGTTCAACAGTAACTAGTGGCGCGACGCCGTCTAAGCGGTTTGAATTTATTGAAAGAAGCAGAGATTACGCACTCATTAAGAACATAGCGGGCCCTCTAGTTGACATATCAGTACTCACTAACGAGGATCCTTTATCATAATTTCGGTAGGCAGCGACTTGGCTCTGCCCCTGGCATTGCTGTAGTCCATGGGCGACGGTAACCACCACTCACAGCCCACCTGGTGTTAAGTGGTTACTGGAGCCCATAGACATCTATAATGTAAATGCGCCACCCACCTTGAGATATAAGTTCTAAGGTCTCAGTATAGTTACAACGGCTACCCCACCCTTCAAACCGAAACGCATTACTGCTTCACGGCAGAAATAGGCAGGGTGGTGGTACCTACCCGTGCGGACTCAAAAGAGGTCCTATCACCAGTAAAAAATGAATGATTCACAAAAAGTATCACTCAATGAACGAAAAAGGCGTGATATAATAGAAGATCTGTATTTGAATAATGTATTGTGGCTGCTAGGAAATACGATATGTTTTTGTATGGCACCTTTGATATGATTATTACACCTTGGAGTGGATAAAATGATGTAGGCGTTCGGTGAATTTAACTCTGACTTCATTTTAACTTATAACAACATTCGATCATCTTAATAAATGTAGTGCGGAGTGAGATACGAATTAATAAAAACATTGCGGTTTCGTTTTTCTGTTATTATCATAAAGCTGTGAAATTAAATTCGTGCTTCAGGATTCTTCGAACACTATGGCATAAGAACTGTAACAAAATTTTAGCGTAGATTGCGGTGGGGTTACGGTCGCATTGATAATGCCCATGGGCGGTATTGACGATGGGGTGAAAGCTCGTCTGAAAAATTAGGCAGAAAAAAAGCTAGGCTACAAATTATATCGTTACACAAATGTGTTTGTTATTCACAATCTTATTCTCACATACCTATGTTGACGTATGACTTATTTTAAATCATTCTCAATGTAACACATATCATATTACAATATTATCGGTAATATGTTTATGATGCATCCGTTACAGTAGCCACATTGCTGCGTAGATAACTGCGTCCTTGATAAAGGCGTGTTCGGATTGCACTTGTGAGTTCATTTATATATTTTTTTGACGACCTCACAGTCATACTGGTGCTAAGTGTTGACAGAGCCGAAAGGTTATGCTGTAAATGCCGTCGCCCACTTTGAGACATGAGGTTTTAATTGTAAAACCTTGCCAGTGTGGCCGAAATAGAGTAATGGTACACGCCTGGGTTTTATAGTTCGTCGTTCATTGATAACGAGCATGTGTGCGTTATATCGCTGCCTTGCTTCGAAATCTAACGTCTATAGGACGTGACAAATGTTATTCAACAAAGACTTTCTTAATTTGGGGACATACACGCTGTAGTGTCTGCATATTACGTTCTCGATGCGCTCCGAGATCGTCTTTCCATTAAAGCACGTACAAATCAAAATCGTTGTAACTTCATTTTTGCAGAAACAAAATGGCGTCAGTTTGGAAGCGATTGCAACGCGTCAACAAACGTGCGGCCAAGTTCCAGTACACCGCCTCGTATCACAGGGTCGACTTGGAGACCTCGCCCAAATGGTAGGATTTGCCACATGTTCGTATCCGCGTCATCTGGACAGATGAGAGATACTGTTATCCTGTAGATAACTATGTAGAAACTGTACATCAAATGCCATGTGAGTGTGACGGTCTAGCAAGGTCAGAATGGCTATCCCGACCAAGATGTATGTAAGCTCCTATTCGTTAAATTTCTAGGGATGTATTAGAAACACACAAAAGGCCGTTTAAGTTGCGATCATACAGCAGGATTGATGTCTTAATAGGATACGTACTCTGCTTTGATATGAATATCGGAGCCAAACTGCGTTGTCTAAAACTAAAACATTGCTGCTTATGTAAAGGCTGTGCAAAGGTCTTCGAACAAAAATTGCTTTAATTAATTGGTCGTTCAATTTTACTTTGATAACCACCTACCGACATGGGAGGGCGGATAAGCGACAAGCTTGTGAATCAAAAGCACTGCTGTTATACGCCTTATATGAAGTATGCTAGTCTGTCTAAAGCAGGGGCTCCCAAACTTATTTTGTCTACTGCCCACGTTGAGAATAAATTATTTTTTAGCGTTCCCCTTTTTTCACCTACTTAAAAACCTCTATAGCGCAAGCTCAGTCGGTGTCTAAGAGTCCCCCTAGATGAAATCACAAATCGCCCCCCAAGCCTCTATACAACGCCCTTATTTTTTTGTGGGTGTCTTCCCCCCCTTTAGACCCGCAGTGCCCACAAGGGGGCGTTATCACCCACTTTGGGAAAGGCTAAAGCAACAAAAAATATAGCGATGATATTTTGCCTCATTCACTGAGAAATTGGTGCAAGGCAACTTTCTAATCTCGTTGGATTCTTTTTCAGGAAACCTAATAAGTTAAGTGTAGTCTGGACGCGGAGATCTCGAAGAGTCATCAGCGAGCCTCTAGAATGGGAGCCAACTCTCAAGGACCCTTTGAAGTAAGCACGAGAGTTGATTATTCTAAGTTTGTCGCGTCAACGTTTGGACTGATAAATAAATAAATAAATCTGTATTGAGGCAGGAAGTTGGGCGCATGGGCGTTCTCTGCTGCCAGTTTATTTTTGTTTTTATTGCTTAGATGGTTGGACGAGCTTACAGCCTACCTGGTGTTAAGTGGTTACTGGAGCCCATAGACATCCACAACGTAAATGCGTCACCCACCTTGAGATATAAGTTCTAAGGTCTCAGTATAGTTACAACGACTGCCCCACCCTTCAAACCGAAATACATTGCTGCTTTACGGCAGAAATAGGCACCACCAGTAAAATACCATGTTGATAGAATATTTGTAAGAAGTGATTACTTTGTTTCTTGTTGTCAGGGGATCGGTGATATACAATCTACCAGAGAACCACACCGTGGCGGTCACTCTTTTCAAGGATTCGCGCACTAATGAACTGGAGGACAAAGACTGGACTTTTGTACTGGAGGATGTGAGTGCTTAAAGTTTGCAGGTTGACCATTCATAGTGAGCCCTCATTCCCTCCCGCGCATGAAGTAAGGTGGCTAAGGGACGCGCGGGGCAGGGGCAGCAGCTTTCTATGAGTACTTGCCCACACTTATAGAGAACTAGCTGTGCCCGTCTGCTTCGCTGGGCATTTAAAATTAACATTATTATTTCTCACCCCCACAAAGATTGTCATCATTAACGCCCCCGCCACTGGTGTAGGGAGTCCAACACTCATATATTATATTAGCCTATCCATTAAGTACATGTATTTTCTACATGGATACCAAGTTTCAAGTCAATTGGATGCATGGTTCAGTAGTTATAACGGAACATCCGTAAAACTACTGTAGATTTATATATTAGTATAGAAGTATAGATATAGAGGAGTGTAGAATGCTATTTTTTAAATTATGCTTAAAAAAACCTTAATTCAATAAAAAAAACATAGACACACTACCATGTATTTGACTCACACACGCACACTCCTTTGTTTATTGTCAAAATTTTGTTATTGTTTATAGTTTGGTCAAATTAAGAATGGATTAATATAGCAGACTTTTTGGCGGGAACGCGAGGAGTGAAGTTGTGTGATTTGTTTTATTTTGTCTATTTAGTGTTCCTTCAGGTTTTAACGTGTCATAACGGTGGCTTATTAAGTGTTTAATATCTGTGAAAGTGCACAAATGTGGGAAAATGAAACAATGCCGCTGGACGTAACTTCTCGGGATCCTCCAAAAAGTCCACTGAAAAAATCTCAGTAAATGATCACTATTTTACTGAGATTATATTTCATCCCATATCATCTCATCTCATTTCATTTAATTTCATTCCAGTTGATTTCAAATTAACCATCTTCATTTCATTTCACTGCATATTATCATTTTTCCAAAATAAGAATATAAATTAAAATAAGACATGACTTAAAGGCCTTAGTTATCAGATCATAAAATCCCTTAAAAAAAAGATTAATATTGTTTGCCGTTAATATTATTTGTCTAAAGTGTAGCCTTGGCGAAATCAAGTAGTATAATAAATAGTCTTTGACAATAGAACCAATAATAATGTTCAAATCTATACATTCAAACAATTATAGTCGAATTTTGGCTACTGGGCGACCAGTGAGCTTAGTGCGAGTTTTTAACATTCTCGATAGCGTAAAAGTTAGCTCATATTTGTATGGAATGGGATCGTTTGCGTACGTTTGCCGCTAGGGGCGCTGTTCCAACTGCATACAAACTTAGCTTAACTTTTACGCTATCGAGAATGTTAAGAAACTCGCACTAAGCACACAGTAGTAATATTTAATGACGGCTGGTCATACTGACACTGACACTGACACTGGTGGTAGGACCTCTTGAGAGTCCGCGCGGGTAGGTACCACCACCCTGCTTATTTCTGCCGTGAAGCAGTAATGCGTTTCGGTTTGAAGGGTGGGGCAACCGTTGTAACTATACCTGAGACCTTAGAACTTATTTCTCAAGGTGGGTAGCGCATTTACGTTGTAGATGTCTATGGGCTCCAGTAACCACTTAACACCAGGTGGGCTGTGAGCTCGTCCACCCATCTAAGCAATAAAAAAAAACTTTAAGGTCCATTTTCGTCTGCAGGTGTCGATGACCGGCAAGCGGCGTCGGCTGGCCGTGTGCTCCGTGAACATGCGCAAGTACGCGAGCCTGGAGTCGTCCCAGCGGCCGCTGCTGCTGCGGCTGGAGCCCACCACGCACAAGATTGTGTCCGCCTCCCTGTCGCTCACGTTACATTGCGTGCTGCTCAGAGAGGGACAGGCGACGTACGTACTTCCTCTTTATCATTCCTCAATAGCGGTCAATGTTTGGTTCTCATGATCATTTTGGTGGTCAAATGAGGGCTTTTTTAATACGCTTTTATTAGCTTCAGACGTATGTATGTATGTAACGGAATCTTTGAACATGATTTTGACCCCCTTCAAAACGTCGGATTAACTCGAAATTTGGTATACTTATTAAGGACCGATGACAGTTCAATATTTAGAAAAAAATGGAAAAAAATATATTGAAAAAATTGAAATTCAACTAAAAAATGAAAAATAAATAAAATTTAAAAAAAAACTAACAAAATACGCTTTTATAGAAAATCCAACTAAAAAATAGAAAATAAATTTTAATAAATTTGAATTAAAAATAGTGTAAGAAAATATGATTTTATGGTAAAAAAGCATGGGGTGCTTTTCAGGATATTATCAAAATAATCCTTCTACTCATATCTGTTCATAAAATGTTTATAACTACTGATACCATGTACCCCACGCTTTTTTTTACAATAAAATCATTTTTTCTTACACAACTTTTTATTTCAAATTTATTAAAATTTATTTTCAATTTTTTATTTGGATTTTCTATAAAAGCGTATTTTGTTAGTTTTTTTAAACTATTATTTACAACGCGTGTTCAAGAAAGACTATTGCAAACGAATAACTACAGCATGTTACTACAGCTTGGTAGATCTATCGGCCGTCCAGTTGCTTAATATCAATCGCATTAGCCACGAAATGTGTGCTCACGAGTGCTCAGGGATGCTCAAGCCCCGCTGTTTGCTTGCAGAGACGAGGACATGCAGTCGCTGGTCAGTCTGCTGTCGGTCAACAACAACTCCGACATCGCCGTGCTGGAGGACCTGGACGAGGACGACTACACACTGTCCGATGACTCCACTCGCCAGGTGACGTCACCGGACCAGCCCACTTACACTTCAGTACATTTACAAATCAAATAATGATTAATATTTTACTGATGGTAGGGCCTCTTGTGAGTCCGCGCGGGTAGGTACCACCGCCCTGCCTGTTTCTGCCGTGAAGCAGTAATGCATTTCGGTTTGAAGGGTAGGGCAGCCGTTGTAACTATACTGAGAACTTAGAACTTATATTTCAAGGTAGGTGGTGGTATTTACGTTGTAACCGCCTAATACCAGGTGGGCCGTGAGGTCGCCCTCCCAACTAAGCAATAAAAAATATATACTTTAATTTCATGGTCAATCTATTTATTTTTATAATTCTTAAAATATCAAATGAATGTGTCTACTTACATGATGCACTATTTAATTTCCAGATGTTGGACTTCCGTCAGCAAATGGAAGAGATGACCCAGAGCCTCACGAACAGCGACCTGGCGGACACCCCGTGCAGCGTGCAGAGCCTCAACCTCGACCTCACGCCGCAGCAGGCCCCGCCCGACTCGCCCACCACGCCGGTGCCCAGAGACGACAGACTCGATTTAAAAATAAAAATCGATTTACCCAAAATCGATTCCGTGACTTCCACCCCGAAAATCGATAAAACGGAATTCAAGCCTCTAGTATTGAAGCCCAGGACGATAACGAAAAGGAACCTTAAGCCTTTGGAGTTAAAGACGAATCTCAACTGCATCGGGCTTGAGAAGGATGATGAGAACAGCTACGACAGTGACCAGACGCCGACCGCCGACGTGGACAAACTGCTTCCGGGGAGGTTCCACAGAGACAAGACACCGGTGAGCTTCATCACGCGCTACCACTAACTGTGCACCCGGGGACCGCACATGGTCCGCCCCCATTGATGGGATCTACTCGTGACCCGCGGAGACCTGGTCGGCCCTAGGCCACTGGCCATACTAGGCCGCGAAGTCAACGGGTCCTAGAGGTCACAGCTAACTAATGCCTGCGTCTTAGTAAAAAATTTTTTCCTACCTAAGCTGAGAGCCTTGAGAGGCTATATCAGCGTAACTTTAACTAGTAGGTGAGCTCACGGGGCTCAAACCTGACGACGTTGCTAACACGAACCCTAGCAAGAGCCGTGCTTCGCAGAATCTCCACCGGATCGTAAACGCGATCCACTGAGAAGATCCGGCGAGAAACTCAGTGGGCTGTGTCTGAGGGTTAATTTACTCGTCAAAGAACCATGACCTGTCTTAGTCAAAGCTGTCAACATAGTGCTCCGCTACGTTCCAGGTTCAAGACCTGCTGGAGTGGTGCCAGGCGGTGACCCGCGACTACAAGACCTGCCGGGTCACGAACCTCACCACCAGCTTCCGGTCCGGGCTGGCCTTCTGCGCCATCATACATCACTTCCGACCAGACCTCATGTGAGTACCCTGTTAATCCTACTATGAAAACTAAGTTCGATTGAAAACTGGAGTCTTATGGATGAGATCTGATCCTCCTCTGTACTCCGAGCACGTGGTGACATTGAGTGACGTTAGTACAGTCCCGCCGTTAAGTGTCGCACATCGACCTTAGGAAACGGGCGGTCGGCTAATGTCGGCTTCGTATAGCGTTGTCTCTGTCTGTCTCTGCTTCATGTTCTGAGTTCCAAGTAAAATCTTCATCAATCTCGTCCCGTTTTGTAGAATTGCGTAAGTGTAGAAGGGTCAGAGCTGGTCCGACGCTCTAAACATCTGCTTCTTGTATTTGCTGTATCTTTATAAAGATTACGAATTTTAGAAAATCATTTTACCAATATATTTTGGATATGCTAAAGAACCAATTTAAAATAATTTGAACCCAGCGCGGCGGGGCCCGTTGCCGTATGACGGGGGGCCGCGGGGTCATATAGTTCTCGTGGTTTGGGCAGATATCGCACAATACGGACCCGTGGCGAGGCTTGGGGGAAGCCTGTGTCCAGCAGTGGACGTCTGTGGGTTGAAGAAGAAGAAAAACAAGTATTAACGAAAATTGCCTTTGTTGACCTTAGAGAATCATATTCGATTGACACTTATACAATAAAATATTTGAGTTTCCTTTTGGACATTGCTTTTTTTATTGCTTAAATGGTTGGACGAGCTCACAGCCCACCTGGTATTAAGTGGTTATTAAAGCCCATAGAAATCTACAACGTAAATGCGCCACTTACTTTGAGACATCTAAGGTCTCAGTACAGTTACAACGACTGCCCTTCAAACCGAAACGCATTACTGCTTCACGGCAGAAATAGGCAGGGTGGTGGTACCCACCCGCGCAGACTCACAAGACGTCTTATACCACCGAGAGGAGTAGTGTGGCCCCCACACTGGACCCTCGGGGATAGCTTACATTCAAATCTGAGGAGTTGCTCGTAACGGCGGTCCCCAGCGACCTGTCGGCGCTGGCGGGCGAGGGGGCGGAGGCGCACGTGCGGGCGGCGCTGGAGGCCGGGGCCGCGCTGGGCATCCCGCAGGTGCTGGCCGTGGCCGACGTGTGCGCGCGTCCGGCGCCCGACCGGCTAGCCGTGCGTACTCACTCATACATTACATCCTTACTTAGAAAAACTAGGTTTCACTAACACTTTTGCACTTTTACAATTGGTAAACGATAAAAGCCATCCTTATTACGCGTTAACACCTGAAGAAATTAACTAATTTTCCTTCAAAAATAACCATCACGTGTGAGGCACCCTAGGGCGTCGGTCCCCGGCCCCAGTACCTCCGCGTGACGCTGTGTCCGTGTGTCCCAGATCATGACGTACCTGTTCCAACTGCGGGCGCACTTCACGGGCGGCGAGCTGCAGGTGGAGCAACTGGGTGAGTGCGGCTGCGGGTGAGGTCCGTGGGCCCGTGCGCCGTCGACTGACGCGTCTGTCCGTCCGTAGGTAACGACGAGACGGAGTCGTCGTACATGGTGGGGCGCCACGACACGGACGAGTCGCTGCCCCCCGAGCTGTTCAGCCGCGAGATCAGCACGCGTCGCTCCAGGACCGACCGCGCACGACCCAAGTCAGCTACTTGAGTTTTATTCTCATTCTTTTTTTTTATTGCTTAGATGGGTGGACAGGCCTACCTGGTGTTATATGGTTACTGGATCTCATAACGTAAATGCGTCACCCACCTTGAGATATAAGTTCTAAGGTCTCAAGTATACAACGGCTGCCCCACCCTTCAAACCGAAACGCATTACTGCTTCACGGCAAAAATAGGCGGGATGGTGGTACCTACCCGCGCGGACTCACAAGACGTCTTACCACCATTCGGGTTATTTACACTGTTATTGCTCTGTAGAATCACAGACTGATAACTCTCATGTTATTAAGTCGTTGCCGCAGTCCTAACTTATAAGCCTAAATAATGATTGAGTTTTTATGAACATTTTGCTGAACAGGTCTGAAGAACTAGAAGACAAGAAGAATAGAGTGGAGGAGCGCGGCAGTCCGGAGCGCGGCGGGGTGCGGGCGCTGTTGGGCCGCGTGCTGTCGCCGCAGCAGCAGCCGCCCACCTGGTACACGGACCAGGTCGGTGCCGCTGGTCACGAATAGATCATCTAAATATAATGTACCAGTAAACGCCCTTAGCAGCAGGGGGCGTACTGGGGGCCGCCGCCCTGTCGCAGCGGGGAGCACACGGCGGGCGCTCCGCCCCGCGTCAGGAGTATCTGTGCTGCAGGGACAAAGACCGATATACACACTTCCGTACACTTAAATCTTAATCCATAGGTCGCTGATTCATATCCGGCTCGAAGGACCATAAAATGTATGCGCTGCTGAATGTGGCGTACACAACTTGAGATTTAGATAGGAAGAAATCACTGATAGTCAAAGAATATCCGTTTATTGTATACTTCGCTAACAAGTAACTAATTGTATCTATGTATGTTGATTTGGTGAGTACCGCTGTATATGAGTGCTGAACGTCTACTGGCACTTTACACTACGGTTTGAGTAAAGCGATGCGAAAAAGTGCTGATGTGAATGCGCGCGCGTGCGCTGTACGTTCTGCTCATCACGTAAATGTTTGCCCGATGTGGGAATCAAGTCCATGACCTTTGGCACAACTGACACCGGGCCTTAACTGCACTAATGAGTCAGTCAAATTGTATTGTAAAAAAAGAGGATCCAGTGATGAGACGCCCGCTGATAGTCACGTGGTCCGGCTCTGACCTTATCTGGAATTGTAAACGCAATGTGAATCATGTCAAGTGTAACTCCCGCAGCCGCTACCCGCTCGGCCGGAAAAGCTGATGACCCGCAAGGAACTGACCGATCCTTTCGGGTCCGACGAGGAGGACGAGCCGGGACCCCGGGGGACGCCCGAGCCACGAAGCAACGGAAAACTGGAAACAGGTGAGCATCCTCCAACGCCGTGGCGTTCTGTTGTGGAAATAGTTTTTTTTTTTTCGATGTGTCAATCAAGAACAGCCCATGAGGAAAATTTGAGATGATATGATTGTGAGTCGTGAAGTGCTCCCCTCCACGGTGTTTCTCGAGCGCTATGACATGTCCTTTTTCAAACGAGGCTTGCGGAGAGTATTAAGCGGTAGACAGCGGCCTGGCTCTGCCCCTGGCATTGCTGAAGTCCATGGGCGACGGTAACCGCTCACCATCAAATGGGCCGTGTGCTCGTCTGCCTACAAGGGCAATAAAAACTTGCTCGGCCACCGGCACACGTTACTGAAGCCGCCGCGTTACTAAAGTTGCGGTGGTATCAGAAGACGCCGGAACCCCCCGCATTCCCTCGCCCCTCGTCCCCCGGCCCGGGTCCACGTACCCCGCAGTGACTAACGTGTACAATGACAGCCGTGGAGCCCGCGCCGGACCCGCCGCGCATGGAGCCGGCGGCGACGGACCCCCTCACCCCCCCGGCGCCCCCCGCCGAGCCTAAACCGGAAACGCCGGTCGCAGAGCTGCCTAAGCCCACTCCGGTCAGTACTAAATCGATTCAACAAAATGTAGTGTCGCCGCGCGCTCTGCTCGTCCCGTCCCCCTCGCACGCGCGGCCCCCCGCGGTGCGTGCGAGGGGGATGGGACGAGTTGGCGAGGTTTTGAGTTTAGTGTTTGTTTTAACTTCAAAATTGCGTTCCGCGGCTTAATTTCATTGGAAACGATTTGAAAGTAGCCCTTAATGGAAGTTAGCCTCGAAGGATATATACTTAAGTGATGCTTCGGTAAATATGCGTAATTACGAATGTACAAAGAAATGAAATTAAACCGCCAATTTCAATACAATTCTCATGTACGTGTTTTGTGTGTGCGTGTGTTTTTTTTTTTGTTTTGGTTTTTTTTTTATTTCACTTGAGATTATCGACATCATGAAAACATTCCATTGAATATAATTAATGTGTAAATAATTAATGTGAATATAATAAAGTACCGTCGCCAGAATAACTATTATATGCAGTAAAACAAAACAATCAAATAGTCGAATTACGTAACTGACATTCGAAAAGTCAAATCATCATTTCTTTTCATTGTACCATCGACATCGCTTGACGTTGCGTGGCGGCTTGGATCGAACGCTTGTGATTGGACAATGCGTCATTGCGCTTCGCTGTGATTGGTCGATGCTTGCGCGCGCCTTGTCGCCGCCAGCAACTGTTGTCGCGGCACGATGAGCTCAAAGAGCGAGCGAGACAGCTGCTCGAGGCCACCAAGAGGGAGGCGAGAGAGAAAGAGAGGATCAGGCGACAGAACTCTAAGGAGGATAAAGAACTCAATGGCGTTAAGAATGGCGACTTGAGTCCGAAGAAGGTACGTGGCTCTTGTACTAGCTTTGCCTGCGGTTTGAGTTGGATGGTTTGAGGTTAGTTGACGATAAGTAGTCCGTCGATTGTTTGGTTAGGGGATCCGCCTAGGAACGCCGTGACTTCTAAATATATAAATATATTTGTGCTTTTTTGTTGTAGTTACAAAAATCTATATATAGTTATATATAAAAATGAATTGCTGTTCGTTAGTCTCGCTAAAACTCGAGAACGGCTGAACCGATTTGGCTAATTTTGGTCTTGAATTATTTGTGTTAGTCCAGAGAAGGTTTAAAAGGTAGATAATAGATGAAAATGCTCGGAATTAAATAAAAATAACAATTTTGTTTTTCCTTTGATGTGTCCCCCGTCGGACGGATTTATTTTGTTTGTTTTATGTTTATTTTATACAAAAGTTTAGGTTTTTCATTTATCGATTGAGGTACTACGAAGTTTGCCGGGTCCGCTAATATCTGAATATAAATTAATCGAAGCCACAAACATTTTAAATAGTTGTCTAAGTGTAAATTGATATTCAAATAAAAAGTTAACGAACCATGAATGTTAAATTGATGATTTTAATGCGCAGAATGTTACTAGATTTTCCATTCATTCATTCAATTATCGCTCTGAATAAAAAATCAAACTTAAAAAAATAGATTTAATTAAAACTATCTAGTTTAAATAAACTCGTTGTTATGTACTTACAGATAATGACGGAGGAAGAGAGACAAGTGATGCTGCGGGAGCGCGCGCGGAAGCTCATAGCCGACGCGAAAGCTGGATTGGTCAGGTATTAAAAGCTCTACCTTTTGAAGCTTTCAGGTGAACTTGTGTGTCGAAATTCTTTGAACTTTAAAGGGCCTTGTGTGTTAGTCGATTAAATAATTATATTCCAATTCGATAAAGCGGCACGACACGAGAACCCTCTCATCGTGGCCGCCGGTAACTACATTCCCGATCCTGCGGACAGAATGGAAAGCAGTCGACGTCGCCCAAAAACGTCATCTCGGATCCTCCCGATCCACTAACGGTGCTTCTAGGTACTTCAAGCACCGGTCACCGTTCTCGTCGAACCCGTCGCTTGCGACGAAGGGCTCGACGAGTAAATTAACTCTCAGACACAGCCCACTGAGTTTCTCGCCGGATCTTCTCAGTGGGTCGCGTTTCCGATCCGGTGGTAGATTTTGTGAGGCACGGCTCTTGCTCGGGTTCGTGTTAGCAACGTCGTCAGGTTTGAGCCCCGTGAGCTCACCTACTAGTTAAGGTTCCGCTGATATAGTCTCTCAAGGGTATCAGCTTAGGTAGGACAAAAATAAATAATAATAATGATATTGATTGCAGTCCGAGTTCGCCGCTGTCCCCGTCCCGGCCGCCCCGCGCCGGCGCCGTGGAGATCATCAGCAAACAGTCGGTGCTGGACGAGCTCGCCGCAGGTAGGGGAGGGGGGGGGGGGCAGCCGTGCCTATAGTAGAAATTATTTTGTCCGTGCAGTTTGGGTCATAAAACATAGCCCGGCTAGGGCGGTGAGGCGCAACGCCATTATCGATAAAAACAAATGAGTCATCGAAGGCAGGTACGGCGGCGGGCGGTATACGAAGGGTGGTGAGATATTTGTACTTACTTACCTGCAAATTATAGTACATAATATGTCGAAGAGAAATGTGTTTTTATGCATTCGCTCTCTGAATTTCATTAGTGACACAATGGCTACTCCTTTGTTTTGTACCAAAACGGCAAAATTTATTCAAAATAATATTTGTACGTGTTGTTATCAACAATGTGTTAAAAATTTTCACTGAAATAGAATAGATCCCGAAAAGTAACAAAGTGTTAATTTCTGCCGTTCTCGTTAACTTGCTGCGGCGATATGTGGTGTAAGTGTTCGATCACTGATTTTTACTTTCATTTTTATCACTAAGCAAAAAGTGACAAAACTAAATAGACTATCGATAACGCTTATCGAAAACAATAATGCGCATCACTATGCCCGTCCATAAGGCTCGTGAGTGGAAGAGAGAGCGAAATATTCGCTTCACCGCTCCAATTTTTTATGACCCAAACTGCACGGACAAAATAATTCTACTATAGTGTACTAGAATGTTGAAACGTTTCCAGAGGACAGACAGAGCGAGGACGCGAAGAGCACCAGGAGTAACTCGTGGGGCAGTGACGAGGCGCGGCGGTCCCCCCTGCAGTCCTTCACCGCGCTGGTGGACAGCCTGTCGCCCGAGGACCACGCCGCGGACGAGGTACACCCGCTTGCTTTGACTTTAGCGATAGACACCAGCTTGGCTCTGTCCCTGGCATTGCTGAAGTCCATAGGCGAAGGTAACCACTCACCACCAGGTGGGCCGTATGCTCGTCTGCCTACAAGGACAATAAAAAAAAAAAAACCGACTGCCCCTAAAAGACGGTAGTGCTTGTCTTTTTTATTGTTTAGACCAGTGGTGGGCAAACATTTTTAATGGCGGGCTACAAATTTTAAGAAATTCTAGAGTAGGGCCAGAATTATCTAGAAAATATTCATTTTGTATTAAAGCTTTTTAATAAACAAAATACCTTTTACTGTTACGCCTTGTTAGGCGTGTGATACATAGGTGAAAAGAATGTTTTTTTTTTCCAATAAATAAACTAATACCTGTGAGAGACTGCCGAGATCATTATAACGATGGCAAGTTGATTATGAGATAATGAAAGCTCAGAAAACCCCATTCGAATCGGAGCTTTCATTAAAAATTCGAAGATTTTCAATCATAAACGTTAGATTTTATTTTGCGCGCCAAAATGCTGACTAGAATGCTTAGGATGGATTGACTCTCGGCGGGCCGTAGTTTGCCTATCACTGGTTTAAACAGATAAATGAGCTGGTTTTATGTGGTAATTGACACAGACACCACAGCCTCGATCCCGTCACTCAACTTGAAACTTGAGGTCTATATTTATTTTCCCCCTTTCTCACTCGATATTTGGAAAAAATTGACACTGTAAGTCAACGGTCGGGGAACCGGGGTAAAAATTTAACTTTTATGAGTAAAAAGTATACATATATTGAAGTGAAACTTTTTTAGAATCGTTATATTTTTAGTTATTATTTTCTTTTCAAAATTATCATGGGGGCATTATAATATGAAAAATGCTAAAAAGAAGCGATTTCGTTTTTGGAGTTTACTCCTTAAGAATCGATTTACATATATAGGCCCGGGGTATGAAAATTATGGGGACCAAAATCGTACTAGAGAGTATAGCATGTCACACGAAATGCGTTATGCGCCTGATTGGCTCCTGATTGCGTGATGCGTGCGCGCGCCAATCAGGAGCCAACGCGCGGCCGCGTTATCGCAGGTGACGCCGGGCTGNTTGAAACGATGTTATCTGCTGTAGTCATAGACTGTGTTGCAGATAACAACGCCAACCCCTACACACAACGAACAATAACATATAAATTTAAATATTTCATAAACACATTATAATAATTAATTTTAAATACAATTATCAAATTAATACAATATTATTTCAAAATCTAGAAGTACAATTAGTGTATGTGTGTGTGTGTGTGTGTGTATGTGTAGATGCGTGTTAATACCTAATATATAAATTGCTCATTACCAAAATGTGTAAAAATGTGTAATCTACTCAAGTAATTCTTCTATATCTTCGTATGTAAGGGAGAAAAGCCATCTATCAATGATAATTTTAACTTCTTTAGAAATAAGTGTACTTTACTAATAACTCTCTACTACTAATAATACTCTATTAATACTATTTTAATAAAAGGTAGACCTTTTAAAGTGTTAGGATGAACTCCTCCGGCGAAATTCTTTGCATGTTAAAGGAGCTTGTGTGTTAGTCGATTAATTATATTCGAGAACCCTTTCATCGTGGCTGCCGGTAACTACATTCCCGATCTTGCGGACAGAATGGAAAGCAGTCGACGTCGCCCAAAACACGTCATCTCGGGTCCTCCCGATCCACTAACGGTGCTTCTAGGTCATCGTCCTTTTTGACCACCATTAAATTAACCCTCAGACACAGCCCACTGAGTTTCTCGCCGGATCTTCTCAGTGGGTCGCGTTTCCGATCCGGTGGTAGATTCTGCGAGGCACGGCTCTTGCTAGGGTCAGTGTTAGCAACGTCGTCAGGTTTGAGCCCCGTGAGCTCACCTACTAGTTAAGGTTACGCTTATATAGCCTCTCCTCAAGGCTATCAATTTAGGTAGGAAAAAAAAATTAATAATAATGATATTGATTGCAGTCCGAGTTCGCCGCTGTCTCCGTCCCGGCCGCCCCGCGCCGGCGCCGTGGAGATCATCAGCAAGCAGTCGGTGCTGGACGAGCTCGCCGCAGGTAGGGGCGCGGGGGACGTGGGGGGGGGGCAGCAGCCGTGCCTATAGTAGAATTATTTTGTCCGCGCAGTTTGGGTCATAAAACATAGTCCGGTTCATAAGGCTTATGAGTGGAAGAGAGAGCGAAATATTCGCCTCTGTGCTATACCAAATGTCTCTATACCCAAACTGCACGGACATAATAATTTTACTATAGTGTACTAGAACGTTGAAACATTTCCAGAGGACAGACAGAGCGAGGACGCGAAGAGCACCAGGAGTAACTCGTGGGGCAGTGACGAGGCGCGGCGGTCCCCCCTGCAGTCCTTCACCGCGCTGGTGGACAGCCTGTCGCCCGAGGACCACGCCGCGGATGAGGTACACCCGCTTGCTTTGACTTTAGCGATAGACACCAGCTTGGCTCTGTCCCTGGCATTGCTGAAGTCCATAGGCGAAGGTAACCACTCACCACCAGGTGGGCCGTATGCTCGTCTGCCTACAAGGACAATAAAAAAAAACCGCCTGCCCCTAAAAGACGGTAGTGCTTGTCTTTTTTATTGTTTAGACCAGTGGTGGGCAAACATTTTTAATGGCGGGCTACAAATTTTAAGAAATTCTAGAGTAGGGCCAGATTTATCTAGAAAATATTCATTTTGTATTAAAGCTTTTTAATAAACAAAATACCTTTTACTGTTACGCCTTGTTAGGCGTGTGAGACGTGAGGCGTGTGATAAGAGAGGTGAAAAGAATGGTTTTTTTTTTCCAATAAATAAAGTAATACCTGTGACAGACTGCCGAGATAATTATAATGATGGCAAATTGATTATGAGATAATGAAAGCTCAAAACACCCCTGACGAATTAGATCTTTCATTAAAAATTCGAAGATTTTCAATTATAAACGTTTAGATTTTATTTTGCGCGCCAAAATACTGACTACAGTGTTTAGGATGGATGACTCTCGGCGAGCCGTACTTTGCCCATCACTGGTTTAGACACATAAATGACCTGGTTCTATGTGGTAATTGACACATAGACACCACAACGTTGATCTCGTCACTCAACTTGAGACTTGAGGTCTATATTTCTTTTCCCCCTTTCTCACTCGATATTTGGAAAAATTTAACACTGTAAGTCAGCGGTCGGGGAACCGGGGTAAATTGATATTTTGGGGGGGGGGGGGGTCGGAATGAAACTTTTGTCAGTAAAAAGTATATATTGAAGTGAAACTTATTTAGAATTGTTAAATTTTTAGTTAGTAATTGTTTTATTTTCAAAATTATCATGGGGAATTATAATAATATGAAAGATGCTAAAAATAAAGCGATTTCGTTTTTTTTTATTTATTTGCCACGGGTTAATTAATATCAACTTACACAAAAAAAATTCGGGGTAATAATTAAAAACGTTCCCCGACCGCTGCTGTGAGTATAAGATCAGTGGACGCCGACACTGAACCGCGGTCCGTCCCGAGCAGGGCAAGGAGTCCGGCTCGTACATCCAGAGCGAGCTGGAAGCACTGGAGCGAGAGCAGGCCGCCATCGACCTCAAGGCAGCTGCCCTAGAGAAGCAACTGCGGCACGTCATGGAGGCCGCGGACAGCACCGAGGTATGAGCGAACCACCAGTCTGGTGATATAGCCGACTCCCTTGAGGGGGACTTGCAACTGTACAGCTGAAGTCGTCGTGGCCTAAAGGATAAGACGTCCGGTGCATTCGTTGTTGCGATGCACCGGTGTTCGAGTCCCGCTGGCGGGTATCAATTTTTCTAATGAAATACGTACTTAACAGATGTTCACGATTGACTTCCACGGTGAATAAATAATATCGTGCAATAAAAATCAAACCCGCAAAATTATAATTTGCGTAATTACTGGTGGTAGGACCTCTTGTGAGTCTGCGCGGGTAGGTACCACCGCCCTGCCTATTTCAGCCGTGAAGCAGTAATGCGTTTCGGTTTGAAGGGTGGGGCAGCCGTTGTAACTATACTGAGACCTTAGAACTCAAGGTGGGTGGCGTATTTACACTGTAGATGTGTATAGGTTCCAGTAACCACTTAACACCAGCTGAACTGTGAGCTCGTCCCTCCATCTAAGCAATAAAAAAAAAGCTGTAGCAGCCCCGACACTCCCGCGAGGTTTACACGCGCGATCCCCACTTCCTGTCCCATTCATACCGCGTCTCTAATTAAGTTCACATCCTGACACTTTCATCTCAATATTCACAGTAAATTGTTAGAGTAAAATTTTAATTTCATTCACAGAAAACATGGCGCAATAACTTGTCTTGTGTGCACAGTGCTGACGAGCCGGTAACTTGGTCTAGATCCCCCCCCCCACCTTCTCCCCTCCGCTCCCCCCCCGTGGGGACTAGACCCCTAGTATCTAGATATAAGTTAGAATTGTGTGTGTACGTACTGTATCTACCGTTCTCGAATTAGAATTTGCAATAGACAGGTCGTTTAGATAAATGTAGTGTATTCGTTGAAGTAAGTACTGTTATTTGCGGATATGCTTAAGATTGCATCGTAGAGTTGCAACATCAGGAAAAATTAATTTAGCGTCACCTGTAGCAAGCGATACGGAACTCACCACTCAGCGTTGGGTCATTGGTTAAGTCCACCCGTTGCTAAAGGTAAAGGTGATCAAATAGTCACTATCGCTTATATGTACTGACCACGGGTGAGGAGTACTCCCCGCCACATGTAAACCTTGAGGAGTGAGTGATTGTTCATGACGATGGTGAAGAAGAAACCACGCATGACAGAATTTTGATAGTTTTATTTAAATACTTGTAAAATACATTATATTATTAACAAAGATTGACGCGTGTCTCGGCTGCTTGTCGACGAACACGAATCTTAGGCCGCGGGCGCATCCTCCTCCCGCTGCCTTCCCCCGTCCCCCTCTCTCGCCCTAAACGTCGTGAACAGTGATTTTGATTGTTATAGCAACGCTGGTTAAATTACACATTTATAATTACTTTGAACGATGCGTTTACAAAGTGGAATCTTAACTTAAACAAAATTTTCGGTAGGCAGCGGCTCGGCTCTGCCACTGGCATGCTAATGTCCGTGGGCGACGTAACCTCTCACCATCACGTGAACCGTATACATGTCTGCCTACAGGGGCAATAAAATAAAAACGTTTGTTCCAATAACAGTATCGCAAATTGTCATAAATTCATGTTTGAAACTACGAAAATTCATGAAAAAATCAATATTTTTATAATTTTTAGATCCTGGTGTGGTGGTGTTTTTTTTTAATTATTATTACCCAAAATAATAATGTTGCTGTTTGATTTTTATTACACGATGTTATTCCTTCACCGTGGAAGTCAATCGTGACATTTGTTGAGTACGTATTTCATTAGAAAAATTGGTACCCGCCTGCGGGATTCGAACATCGATGCATAGCTACATACGAATGTACCTGACGTCTTATTCTTTAGACCACGACACCTTCAACCATTATATACAGATACACGGCATCCACATGTGTACATTAAGTACACATCTGTTTGCCGTGGTGTCCAAAAAGCTATCTGTGCTCTGGAAATATAATAATATATCTTACAGGAGGAGGACAAATTGATGTCGCAATGGTTCAACCTAGTCAATAAGAAGAACGCACTCCTGAGGAGGCAGATGCAGCTCAACATATTGTGAGTGTGGCCTGCCCCCTACCCGCCCCCCCCCCAACCCTCCCACTCCCCCACTATTCGTTCGTTCTAAATTGGATCTTGAAATTGGACGCTTGTTAACACAAAATTTATTATGAAAACCGTTATTGTAGTGTTTTACGATGATTAAATAAATAGATATAATCAAATTGAAATAGTTGTTCGATCCGAACCCGGCGCCCTCGTGGCGGCCTAGGGCTCCGGAAACCAGCACGAGGGGCCCGTCGAACATGTGTCGCGATCCACGGCGCCGTATGTACTGTTTTAACAAAATATCATCTAATCACTCACCGGAACCGATGACCTGGTCGTCTCACGCCGTATCACTTAGGGAGAAGAGTTCAGGGCAGGAATGGATAAGGATTAGCGATAATGCAAACTGTTAGCGTAGACATATGCGGTACCATCCCGTTCGAGAAGCAAGACAAAGTGACAGCTGTCAACTCGCGAAGGCACCGTAACTTTTTTTTTTGAATTTTATGATCTTGTAACTAAGACCTTTAAGTCATGTCTTATTTTAATTTATGTTCTTATTTTTAAGAAAAATGATTACATGGAGTGAAAAATGATAAGAGATGGTACGGGATGAAATATAATCTCAGTAAAATGGTGGTCATTTACTGAGTTTTTTTTCAGTGGGCTTTTTGGAGGATCCCGAGAAGTTATGTCCAGCGACTTTGTTTAATTTTCCCACATTTATGCACTTTCGCAGATACTAAACAGTTAATAAACCTCCGTTATTACACATTTAAACCTGAAGAAACACTAAATAGACAAAATAAAACAAATCACACAACTTCACTTCTCGCGTTCCCGCCAAAAAGTCCAAAGGCACCGTCAAATCGTGACCTGTGTTGCCGTGGTAAAAATTCAAATTCCCACGGATTTGGTTTCGAAAAATATTAGTGCTCGGTGGGGCTGTGTCGGTACAGAGTGTCGTGTCTGCTGTGCGCAGGGAGCAGGAGGAGGACCTGAGCCGCCGCTGCGAGCTGCTGGCGCGCGAGCTGCGCTTGTCCCTCGGCGTCGACGAGTGGAGGAAGACTCCCGGACAGAAGAGGAGGGAGAGGCTGCTGCTGCAGGTACACTACACTTACTAGTGGTAGAAAGCAGTAAATGTCGTGAAGCCTATTTCTGCCGTGAAGCAGTAAAGTGTTTCGGTTTGAAGGGTGGGGCAGCCGTTGTAACTATACTGAGACCTTAGAACTTATATCTCAAGGTGGGTGGCGCATTTACGTTGTAGATTTTTTTTTATGATTAAAAGATTACTGGTGGCCCGGAAGCCTTTCCAGCTTCACCAGGACAGGTGGGCGAGCAAAGGCTCAGCCAGGAGGGGTGGGATTTGCTAACAGCTGCCCGAGCGCCTCCGAAGGAGACCTAACAACTCAAGAGCAGTTGCTTCGCGAATGAATCTACTACCGAATTGGAATTACGTCCCACTGAGAAGATCCGGCGAGAAACTCAGCGGGCTGATGCATGGGTTAGGTATTTGTAGATGTCTATGGACTCCAGTAACTATTTAATACCAGGTGGGCTCGTCCACCCATCTAATCAATAAATAAAAAAACACCGTACAGCCCCGTGGACTCCTAAGTTTACTGTTTTGTTGAAGTTACCCTTACAGTCGAATGATCATACTAATGTGATTCCACAGGAGCTGCTGTCCGCGGTCAACGAGCGAGACCGCCTGGTCCAGGAGATGGACGAGCAGGAGAAAGCGTGAGTCCCGTCCAGTCTTAATTGTATTAAGAGATTTTGTTGTGGATCAGCGAATTTGATCAGCTTTTTTTTCCTACCCAAGCTGAGAACCATGAGAGACTATATCAGCGTAACCTTAACTAGTAGGTGAGCTCGCGGGGCCCAAACCGGAGTGTTGCTAACACTGGCCCTAGCAAGAGCAGTGCTTCGCAGAATCTACCACCGGATCGGAAACGCGACCCACTGAGAAGATCCGGCGAGAAACTCAGTGAGCTGTGTCTGAGGGTTAATTTACTCGTCGAGCCCTTCGTGGCAAGCGACGGATTCGACGAGAACGATGACCGGTGCTTGAAGTACCTAAATGCACCGTTAGTGGATCGGTAGGATCCGAGATGACGTGTTTTGGGCGACGTCGACTGCTTTCCATTCTGTCCGCAGGATCGAGAATGTTGATCAGCTAATCATGTCCGAATCAGACGATGGGGTAACCGAATCATGTCTGGTCAGAACCCTCGGATTCCTTCTCGGTGCTTTTAGGACCCTCAAGCATCGAAGAGTTTGGCGAGTGAATTAACCCTCAGACACAGCTCACTGAGATTCTGGCCGGATCTTCTCAGTGGGTCGCGTTTCCGATCCAGTGGTAGATTCTGCGAAGCATGGTTCTTGCTAGCCCCGTGAGCTCACCTACATGTTGGAGTGAAGCTGAAATAGCCTCTCAAGGCTATCAGCATAGATAGGGGTAAAAAAAACACGGTGACGTCGCGTGTTGCAGGATCGCGGACGACGACGCAATCGAGCGGAACCTGTCGCACGTCGAGATCCAAAGGAAGAACAACTGCATCCTGCAGTAGGGCCGCCGTCATGCTGATATGTAACCTAACACGCGCCCGTAAGGTTCAAAATCGACTAACTAGCGAGCGTTTTGTAGCGCGTGGCCAGGTCAGTGAGCCGATGTCCACGGACCGATCGAACTGTGACCAGATCTAGAAACATTATATTTTGACATCTGTTTTGCTGATGAAATGAAAAAAAAAACTTTTTTTTTTTAAATTGACTACACCGAAGCCACTAAACAACAATTCATGAACTAAAGCGAAAAATGTATTTAAATGCCTATTTGTGTTTGTGAACGTTTATATTTAGACCGATAGGCGTGTGTGTACTGTAACTAATTATAATTAATATAATTATATTCGCTTAATGTAACCTTACGTAACGTGACGTGACGTAACGTAACGTGACGTGACGTAACGTAACGTTGATGTATATTTGTCGCGTGTGGCGTTGAGCACGCGTGGTGTCGGTGAAGGCCCGCGATCGGTGTTGCTACGGGTAAAAATTAATATAGTCTTTTGTTTCAGTGTGACCTCAGTAATTAATTTTTATTTTCAATTTTTTTTTATAGGCAAATGAAGTACATTTTAAATTACAAATTGATTGTGATTATATTAATAATTTTATGACGACTTTTAGTAATGAATGTCCGTGATATGTTTATTGAATTATGACCTTTACGTGTAAAGGAATAAAGATTGTTTTTGATGATTTTAATGGTGACATATATGACGTAATCGAGGGGGTTGGTGATTAATTATTTTAATAGTAGCTCGACAGGTGTGAGCCCGCCCGGTGCGGCATGATCTGCCGCGACGTCGCATGCGCCGGTACGACGGAAGTTACTGTCTCCGGTGCTGTCCATTGACTGTTGTTTCATTAATTCCCTTTGTTATGTCATATTATCTTCAAATATTTTTTTACTTTTTTTTTTAAATATTAATTTAAATATTTTTAATAGATCAGCCCTAATCGTGAAATACTCATGTAACTGTATAAATCTATTTATGATCATGTGTGATCATGTGTGTACAAACGTGTGGTTATCGCTTATGCATTAGTAATTTATTTTTATTTTAGGTAATTTATTTGTATTGACAGACGCGTGTGTGCTAGCAGACAAAAAAAAACAATAATTGTTAATTAGGAAATACCCTAAAATCGCGGAAAAAATAAAAAAAATCTAATAATTAGTATGTAATCGAAAGTAGACCTTATGTGGGTGAACGAAGACGTAAATTCCAATGCGTTCACTTGTATGAATGTTTTCTTCAAAGATAAAAAAACAGAACATGCCAATACATTTATTGAATGCTTTTTATTTATTTTTTAGCTTAGATGTGTGGACGAGCTCACGGCCCACCTGGTGTTAAGTGGTTACCGGAGCCCATAGACATCTACAGCCCACTGAGATATGAGTTCTAAGATCTTAGTACAATACAGTACAATCGAGCTAAATAAGCTTTCCCCTTTCAATAAAATGACTGCCCACTGACACACTACAACGGTATTCACCAAAATTCGAATTCAAATTCAAAATCATTTATTTCAACTTAGATGTCAGTATAACACACTTGTCGAATGTCAAAATATAAATAACAATGTTAACTCTACCACCGGTTCCAAAAAACCCACAGTCCTGAGAAGAACCAGCGAAACAAACTCAGCGGGCTTTTTTTTTGTTTTTTCTCAATTATTTCCTTTTTTTTTAAATACGTAAAAATATTTACAATAAACAAAAAAACAAGTCAAAAAATACATTTTTTTTTTTTAATAATAATGAAAAATGAAAACCTAATTAACCTAATTAGGTCGTACCATTTACTAAAGCGATTCTATCATAGTTTTTTTTATCTTCTAATCATAGTGATGTGGACTCATTTTTGTGTGTGTTTAAGCAAATAACAAATACATTCAAAGATTACCAAGTTACATTCATGAATGTGGCTGAGGTGACTTTTCGAGTAATGAAACACACAAATGACGTCATTGGTGTTGCGAGTCGATGTGCGAGGGAGATAGATGTTAGTCGTTCTTGATGTCATGCACGAACTTTGAAATGGCTAGATTATTTTAAAGGTGATTTCAGTGCCGTTTTAATATGTTGTTATCACAGTGGACCGTGGGCAACATCCTTATTCCGTGATAAGTAGAAGAGTACAATATATCTCTATTACAGAGGCTTTTTTTTTTAAATATTCTAAGCATGTAAATAAAGTAGTGCAAAATTATTTTAGTTTTATTCATTTTAAATGCGTTAGTTGGTTTGTTTGTTCGTAGGAAATTTCAAAGTCACCGTACAATTATGTAGATTTCTGCTCAGTCGATGTACGAAAAGATATGTTGACTATGCGATATGGGCTCGTCGGTGAGTTCGATTCCCGGTCGGGGCATGTGTTAAAATCTATATGACATTATTTAAATAAAATAGCTTTTGCCCGCGACTTCGTCCGCGTGGAATAGTTCACAAATAATTATTTTTTAGAACAAATTTGGTTAGCATAAAAATCGTTATAGTGAGCCAATCTTGACATATCGCACCCTTAAAATATAAATGACACTATACGAAAATGTTCATTTTACAGTATGGCCGTTTTAAGTTTTTTTAAGTATTGTATGGGTGATATGGAACATAAAAAATGTAAATAAAGCTTCGTGATCGGCTTAAAATAACAGTTTAACTAACGCTGTTTCAGAATCCAGTGGCGTACCACAAAATTATTGATTATTTATCAATGGAGAGGCATTTAAAAAAAAAGTTTTGTATAGTGTCGGTTATAGTTTGATAGTTATTCAATAATTTTTGCTTAATGACCTCTAAGTCGTTATTTTACCTACATTGTAATGATAAAAAAGAGACAAATAAAACAATATAATTAGTGAAATATTAAAGAATACTATTTATTTGACTCACGCTCACAGTTTTAGGTCAAAACTACCGCAAATAATCATAAAAAAAATCTGTCTAAATCTAGACAATGGTATTGTCAAAAAAACAGAAACTTAGGATTTGTGTTTGAATAAAATTCGTAATTTTATCAGAATTAATATTATATTAGAATATTGTTCTTACTACTTACTAATCAATACAAATTAATAGAGGTATTCCAAATTAAATACCAAGGTTAAAAGTCTTTCAAAGTAGGAACTGTAAAAGTTACGTATAAATCAGCGTATTAAAGGCTTAAACACAAGAGTCAGCAAAAATATTATTTATTATAACTTACAGTAGGTACTTAACTTAAAAATGTTGTTTTTCACAAAAAACCGTAAGTAATTATAAAAAATATTGTATCAACATCATGTAGGTAGGTAGGTACATCCTATAAAATCTTGTAAAACTGAATTATGTAAGAGCCGGTCGTCTTTTAGCAATTCGGCCTTAAGCATCAAGTTCTAGAACCGAGAAAAATATGAATAAAGTGACAGTAACTTAAAAACATTTCCGCACAAAAATCCGTAAAATAGATCACAAAAAAACACCTATCAAAAACCTCTTCTTACAAATAATAATTAATCAACTACATTTTTAAAGGGTGGACACTACCCACCTAGTTCAAAACTCTGTCAAAGTAGGAATTGTAAAAGTTGGGTATCAAAACAGCATCTAGAAGGCTTTTCACGTCACTCTTCTTTCTTTCGGATAAATCTAACTTTTGGTTATACAGATGTTGCAATTCTTCAGTCCTCTGGTTCCTTGCACTGGCTTTTTTAGATCCCAGGTTAAGTTCTTTGAAATCATCAACGTAGGATGTTTTGTAACAAAACTTTACCTTATTATCTTCAACTTTCACCACTTTGATGACTTTTATATCAGACACCTTTACAAGCTCACTTTCAACGCTTTTGTTCAGTCTAGGAACGGGCAGTTGTTTGATGTCAATGAAATCGTTATAAGCCATTTCGTTTACTTTGAATGGTGTGCCATGTTTTTTTGCACTTCTGATGTCGGTTACGTACTGGGAAGGCACATAAATGGGTCCAGATTTAAGTATTATTTTTATTTGTAGCTCAATCGTTGAATGTGCTGCATCTCCTTCGTTCTGTGTGTGTCCACGGATTTAAAACTTATGTGTTATAGATGCTACTTTTCAGTTAAGTGCACATCATCGGTATGTACTATGCAAGATGTACATACCGATGATGAATTGATTTTTCTGCTGGCCGCAGCAGTTATCTGAATAGAAAACAAATCTAAGTCTTCGTCAGCTAAAGAAGATTTCTTCGCAAGTATTTCAAGACACAACAGCCTATTTCATTTGCTCCACGGTTACCTTGCAGTTCGTCCCAGAAAACACATTCAGTATTATGTCTAGCAAGCTCAGAGATGGTAAAATTCAAACAATTTATCTTTGACTTGTAGAAGACAGAAAACAAAATCCTAATTAAAGTTATTAAATAACTGACGTTAAACTCAAACTGCCACTTATGCACTTACTCACTGTAAATATTCGAAAGTATATTTATTTAATAAGTGACACTGAACACAATGTGCCAGTTTTTTACTCACCTCGACAAGGGATCCCTCCGGTGACTTGTCGCGATCTGGCATAGTGCCGGTTTATTAGTTACCGACCGTACAAGTTGTTACAAATTCATAAGTGACACTAGTAACATCTAGCGAAAATTAAGCACATTAGAGATACAGGAGTCTTTGCATTAGGCGCGTTTCGTCTTACGCATTTTGACACTATACTTAACTAAAAAATAGCATTTTTTGTATAGTGCCATTTATGTTTTAAGGGTGCGATATAGACATAGTCGCGGACTTTTTTTAGATCTTTTAAAGGGGAACAATTCTGTCATACATTATTTTAGCGAAACTTTAACCGTTTCTGCAGCGCACGCAGCGGATGCTCTCAAAATGGAAAAAAAACCGTTTTTAAAACATTATTTATTGGTGCTCCGCTTGTATTGGTCTTAGCATGATGTTATATAGCCTATAGCCTTTCTCGATAAATGGGCTATCTAACACTGAAATTTTAAAATGGGACCAGTAGCTCCTGACATTAGCGCGTTCAAACAAACAAACTCTTCAGCTTTATAATATTAGTATAGATAATCGAACCGTTATTCGGCTCTTAAACTAGATTTTCCTCGCTGTGGTAGCCAAAGTTACATAGGTACATCATGGTACATACTCAACCCATTGAGTTTCTCGCCGGATCTTCTCAGTGGGTCGCGATTCCGATCCGGTGGTAGATTCAGCGAAGCACTGCTGTTGCTAGGGCTAGTGTTAGCAATACTCTCAGGTTGAGCCCGTGAGCTCAACTGACAGTTCGCGTGAAGTTGGAAGCCCTTTAGGTAGGATTAAAAAATGTTTTGAATGTTTGCTCGACGTGGGAATCGAACCCACGACCCCGGCCCCGTAATCGGACGCGAGTCTCCGAGTTAGTCAAATCTGCTCTTTAAGTTTCAAGTCGCAAGTTGTCTAGCTTCATAAAAGTTAACATTGATCCAAATTACACTACGACTGAGCAGATTTAGACGAAATTAGCGCTTAACTTCTAATTGACAGATTCGTATATCGCATAGCAATTAGTTAATGACTAATCGCGTATTTAGTTTCACTGTCATCTTAAGTCCGACATTTGCTCTGTGAGCCTGGGCTGCAATGAGCGTTGGCCTAATGCAGCTTAATAACGCGTTGGTCACATATATAGTTGAAAGGATCTTTCAGTTTTTTTACGGCTAAAATAATTGCTGTAATTATGATGCAGATAATATGTATCTGAGAATTATAAATGTAATTATAATTTGTTGATGCAAAGTACATTGTGGGTACTTAAACAGTATACTTGTTGATTATTGGTGTTAGCGGCACACGTTGGTTGGCTGGGCTAGTTCGCGCAGCAAGCCATTCTTTATGTTGTGCTGTCTCAAATGTGTTTTAGAAAAGTATTTTATAGTTAATAGAGCAAATACTCAAGGTTTTTTCTTAACTAAGCAAGCATTTAAGTGTTTTTGTATTGAATAAATCGATTGAAATACAATAAATACAGAGCGCTTGGTACAGATAGTAACATTGGCTGTGCGGGAAAAGGATAGATAGAGTTGTGATGTACTCTCCGTTTCCACCATTACTTATAACTTAGAACTTAGTAAATGCAACGAGTAATGAAGTTAGAAGCAATGAAGACGTTTGAACCTAAACGAATTTGTAATAATTCTTCTTAATATACGGTGATAGTTCGTTATCAGATAAGTTATAATAAATGATTATATCAATATTCTATAATAGAAGTGGACGTTTGTGTTTGTTCATTATCAACGCGTTCGGGTGTGGTTACTTGGATAAATTTGGAACTTGTAAAGTTTTTCCCACTTTAGTGGGGATATTTGGATAAATTTTAGGTTTGAGCCCTGTGAGCTCACCTACTAGTTCAGGCGACGCTGATTTAGCCTCTCAAGGATATCAGCTTAGGTAGGAAAAAAAAGAGGATAAATTTGGAACTTGGTAAAGTTTTTCTCACTTCAGTGGGGATATTTGGACAAATTTGGAACTTGGTAAAGTTTTTCCCACTTCAGTGGGTATTCATAGTTCCATCAAAGTAAAGGTGACGTGCGAATAGATTTAAAATGTGGGTACTTGTCAATCATTTAGCGATAATTGCACCCCAGCATTGCGGGGTGTTAGGAAGTAGAATCTGTAAGGTTCTCGTACCGCATAGGCACGACTCAGTGATGACCTGACGAATTTGTTGGACTAACACTTGGCGTGAGCAGCCAGAATTGGTGTTTGTGTCGAACCTCTGGAAAGCCCACACCGAAAATGGATGCTAGGAATCTGGTGACTTATCCTCACGAAGCAAATCATATGCAAAACATGTTGACGTGACAGCGTCTTATAATTCGATGGAGCCGGCTGCACACACGAAAAAACATGACTCATGCGGCGTTACCTCGCTCTGAAGCGTTCCATTTAAGGCTTGAAGTGCAAGCGAGAGCGCGCAACGAGCGACAAAGAGGCACAATCGGCCTCCGCGTTCGACAGCGTTCGACATCTGTCTCTCTCCTACTTGAGTGAGCGATGCATCCGCGTGGACAGCTGTTATACAATAATACATTTACATGTTTTCGTCAAGTATGAAGTTCAGTGAAAAATGAATGTGGTGTCAATTGTTTATAGCAACGATAATTGCGATAATTGAAAAATGAAACCATTCTATCAGTATTTTCTTATGACGTTGTCACGTTCAACTATCGTCAGTAAACCGACTTTACAGACAACCGATATTTTAATTACTTTAGATAAAATTATTACTTAAATGCTTGCTTGTAAACTTCATCTAATTAAATAGTTAATGTATTCATTCATCTTGCCCTCGCTATGTACTTGATAACGTATAATATAATAATATAATTAATATTTTATAATTAATGTAAACTTTGGTACACTTTAAGCCTTTGTCAAACGTGATGTATCTGTTTAACTTGAAGCTAAAGAAAGAGCTTACACAAATGTAGCTACAATTTATCGTGGCTATCGCAAAGTCAAACTAGGAGATAATTCGGTAATTATTTTTAATAAAATGTTCCTCTTGTGTACTTTTTGTGTCAAGATGTACTCTAGAGATGCCTGTTCAATATTACGGACCTTTTTATGAAGAAATTGTAAACGAAACTGCCACGACGCTTCTCGCAATGTGTAAATAAAATCTCGTAAGAAATGTCTTTTTGTTTTTCTGATCTTATCAGCAATTGTTTCCTCATTCTCTTGACCGTCTCCTGGAAACACCTTCGAACTATTCCTATTAAGCAGCTTTTTGTTCACCAATGAAGACTAGATAATAAATAATAGTTTAAAAAAACTAAAAAACACGCTTTATATAAAATTCAACTAAAAATTAGAAAATAAATTTTAATAAATTTAAATTGAAAATAGTGTAAAATATATTTTAACGTAAAAAAAGCGTGGGGTGCATGGTGTTATTAGTTATAAATATTTTTCTAACAGATATGAGTAGAAGAATTATTATTTCAATAATATCATAAAAAGCGTGTAAATATCTTATAAGGGTGTTTTTTAGTTTTTTTAAACTGTTATTTATTTTTCATTTTTTAGTTAAATTTTTTATAAAAGCGTATTTTTAAAAACTATTAAGTACTTTAACATCAATTCCTGCCGTTATCGACTATATATAAAAATTATATAAATTGGCAAAAATCTTATTTTGCAAATTGAATAATGGAATAATCTTATCAAATTAGTGTATTGTCATTGGTCCTCGATAAATCTACAAAGTTTGAATGAAATCTGGCCGTTTAAAGTGGGTCAAAATCTCATCTAAAGGAGTCAGTTACGAACATACAAACATACATACAAGTGAAGCTAATATAAATCGTGTAAAAATGGGATTCTTGACCATCGATCGTTCTTGAGTACATTGCTTCCTTCAAGCAACGTGGACGTACAGAGATGACCAGCTGGTCCCGGGAAGAGCCTGGCGACGAGTATCTGGAGGGTAAACTTTCAGGGTTAAAATTGAAGGTAATGTTGAAAAGATTTAAAAAGATTAAAAAAACATTTGGAACTTTTTTCCCAAAAAACAATTTACAAACAAAAATCACACTTAATCTTGTCATGTTATGTAATTATTGATCAATGGCGGGCACTTACTCGCCTCTCGTATGGTTCCTTATTACACTTAAATATTAAGTGTATTATCTATGTATGGTACACGGAAGGACAGAACTGGTGGTAGGACGTCTGGTGAATCCGCACGGGTAGGTACCACCACCCCGCCTATTTCTGCCGTGAAGCAATAATGCGTTTCGGTTTGAAGGGAGCCGTTGTAACTATACTGAGATCTTAGAACTCATATCTCAAGGTGCGTGGCGGCATTTACGTTGTAGATGTCTATGGGCTCCAGTAACCACTTAGCACCAGGTGGGCTGTGAGCTCGTCCGCCCATCTAAGCAAAAAAAAAACATCCAACTAGTTCTCATGACAACCAGGAGTGCATAGTGCACCAGTAGTTACTCAACGGGTTTTAATCTCCTTTAAAACCCTTCAAAAAACGCACATTGATAATAATAACGGTGCACCTGCGTATCTGGTAAGTAATATTGCGAGTAAACATCAACTTTTTATCGAACCTCTGTGTATTTATGTCGTCCTGGTACATAGCTTTCCGCGCAGAGGATGCTAAAAGATAGCGCTGGTGGCTATTAAATTAAAAAAATATTTGAAAGTAGGTACGTGAAACGATAATTGACTGGTGGCTATTAAATAAATTAAAGAATACTTCAAAGTACATACGTTGAAACGGTAATTGATGGGCTAGGTTAAAAACGTATAAATATAATAATAATTTGAGTTTTAAATCGGAAAACAAGGAACAATATTTTATCACGCACCGATTAGTGGTTCTAGAAGGCAGTTATCGTGTAAGATTCGTAAATAGTATGAATATGTATAAAAAAAGTAGTAATGAACGTAATTTTCATTACAAACGATAGCTAGGGTTTGTCTCATTTGAGGAAACCTTCTTAGCGGTATGGAGTCCTAGTAGTTGGTTTGACACGACGAACGTGACTTTTGTTGCCACCATTTAAAGTTAGCGATCGATTTTAAAAATAAAAGAATTTTGGATAATATTTGCAATTATTTTCAACGCACATATGGCAAGATTACCACAAATATAAATACATAACTGAATGTTTAGCTAGTACACAAAAAATGCTTTTATTCCTCATGTCCATATTCCACATACAAAGAATAACATTACATCAAATTTAGTTAAA